AACGCGCTTGTTTAGTCGGAAGAGGGCTTCGCGGAGGAAGTTTCGGAAGACTGTGACGCTCATTGTGACCGAGGGAAGGCCGCCTGTTTCGCTGCGACCTAGGTTGCGCAGCACGGAGGTTGTTTTGTAAACGGTGCGTGCGATGAATTCGGCATCGGCACCGTGTGCGGAGTACCAGTCGCCTCGGTCAAATACGCGGATTGTTTCATTATTATCGGGTGCAGGGAGGCCACGGTAGAAGCCAATAAAGCCAACTTCGTCGTCGACCTGTGTCGATTCAGGGTTTGAGTTAGTGGATGCTGCTTTGGTGGGTTTAGGGAATGTTAGATAGCTCAATCCATACCTTCAAGTCAGGTCGGGAAGACATGGTGTCGGTTGATGTGAAAAGAAATGCAGCAAAGGACAACGCAAATGCTGGTATCAAGGTAGTTTGGACGAGTCCAACTCGACGCGCTTGAATTCGCGTGGTCCGTGCACGCGTCGCGCGTTAAGTGGACAATTTCGGTCGTTAATCCGTGGTTATACATAGAAAGTATGCTATTTACATCGTTTTCGTCTTGCTAGCTAGTTGCATATGTAACTAACAAGGAGAAAAAAAAACCCCCAAAAAAGATTAACAAACATTAGACATGGCGTGGGTTGACTTTTCTTGTGGTAGTGGGATTATGATTGGGCGTCCGAGGACCTAGTTGCTAAAGTACTACCTAAGGTAGTTTCATGCTAAGAGACATATGGTAAAGTACAGGGTATCGAGCGCTGATGCAAGACCGCGAGCAGACCAGCTCCGCGGATGCGAGGTATCCAACAATGAAAGACAAAAGAACACACCAAAAAAAAACATAAATCACAAGAGAGGAGTCTGCACACAAGATGCAGACTTCTCCCAGTCAGCCTTCAGCTGGGCGGCTCTCGCCCCGATATCTTTGGCAGAGACATCCTTGCAAGACTTCAACACGACCGATTTCATCTGGCCAACAGTGACCACACTGATCCAGTCACCAGCCACCTTTGTATCCGACAGAATCTCAAGACATATCTCTACCTCCTCACGAGGAATCTCGTTGCGGACTGAGTCACGGACATGCTCTACCATCACGTCGAGTTTGAAGGGTTTACGTTGGGCTGCAAGCATGGCTTTGATACCATTGCCCACATACCCAACGGGACGCAACATGGCCAGAATCCCAGCTATCTCCTCCGCCCGATCGGCGGCTGCACGTCGTAGGAGCTCGTTCTTGGGAGGTGGAGGAGGAAGCTTGGACTGGCGTAGCTCCTTGTTCTTAATGCGATCTAGCAGGCTCTGGCGGCGGCTGATCGTTGCCGTCCGCTCCAGGGGAGTCGTCTCTGCTGACTCTGAGCGCATTCTCTCGGCCTTCAAACGGAGCAGACCGCCCTTTAGATCCTGGAGTCGTTGCTGGCCTTTCTGGAAAACCGTAAAAGGGGTGAGCGACTCGTGGATTGTAGAAAGACCGAGAGACTCGATGAACAAAGTAGCTTGGTCCTCCTCATTGGCATCCCGAAGGGCCTCCGGGGCCTTTTCCCACAACAAGTCCAAGGTTTCTTCGAAAGAGTCTTGCAAAGCTGGAGGCTGCACGTTGACCTGCACGGTACGCTCCATGCATATTTTACCGAGTCCATAATTTGCCAGGCGATATGAAATGTGTTTCGCTTTCGAACTCTGCTCCCAGACCCACACAAGACGCTGCAAGTCTTTGATCTGTACCTTGCGCTTATTCCACAGGCGGGTCACACTGGGAAGGAATTCTCGGAGGTCCGCAGGGGTATTTGCGCCATTGTGTGCCATGTGAATGGAGAAAGCTTGCACAAATGAGGAGTGAAGGTTGAGAATGTCGTTGAAAAATCCGGGCCGCTCAATCACTAGGGGTTCCGCCTTCACAGGAACAACCTTCTCAAAGTTCAGGGTTCGTTGCTTCGAAGGCGTCGCGGGTGTCGAGGACGCGTTCTTGACAGGGGCAGCCCGTCGACTCGGGGTCCGACTTGGGGTCTTCGCAGGCGAGGCTTTCTTGGGCGAGACATAATGGCCGCTGCGTGGTGAGGAAACGGATAATTCATTCAGTCGCAAAGTTTTCGAGGGCGTGCCTTCCTCCTCAATTGGTGCCTGTCTGCTTCCATTGTCGAAGTTTTCGAGTTCCTGCAGTTTGCGTTTTTTGGAAGGCGAGACCGGAAGAGATGCTATCTTCTTTGCAGGTAGTTGCGGAGTGATGCCGGCTTTGGTTGTCCGAGCGAAGGCTTGAATGGCTGGCTGGGCAACGCAGCTTGACCGGGAAGTGCGCGGCATCGCGGCTGCTTTGAAAAAATTTTGCCTGTCGAGGAAGAATAAATGAAGCAAGGGCGATGGATACAAGTGTATTATAATAGACAAGGTAAGAGATACCGAGATATTAGAGCGAGCAAGAAGTTGGAAAGTGTACAAAGTGGAAAGTGGGAAGTGGGAGGAGATGTCCGAGAAGGTACAAAGGGGAGACGCGTTCGAGGGCGCGTTGAAAAACCACGCTAGCCGTTTTGCGTTAAATGGAAACGCGTGAGCGCGAACTATAAAATCTTCAATTCAAGCATGGAGTATAAGACTCGTTTCAAAAGGGAGAGGGAAGTCTTAATATAATGAATTCCAGAAAACATTGTGTATAAAATATACGAGCTCCATGGCCAAGGCATTCTCGTCACTACGGCAATAGTACTCCGGCATTGGAATGTCACTGTGTCCAAGCTCAGCGCCTGTACATTTCTCTGAACGCGTGGGATGTCTGATGCTAATGTATGGCAGAGAATAAATTTCAAATCTGTCTTTATATCGGGAAATAATGGAACAGCCACATTCAGTTTCATGATGCGCCCTGGGCAGACTAGGTGCGTTGAAAACATGGCATACACGAACTCCAAACTACATCGACATCAAACAAGCATATGTTGCATAGACATGGAATTCTTCGTGATATTGGCGAAACGACCAGCGCCGTGATAAAACAATGACATAAAATCGTCGCTCAAGGGCGAAAGGAGCTTATTTCTTTCCACCGAGCCAGCCAGAGACAGTCCCCTTGGCTTCAGCGGCTTTTTGCTCGACCTCACGATCAATCTGATCAACACCGCTGTTGAGCTTCTCCCGATTGGCATTGAACTTGTTCTTTGCTTCCTCGCGGAGCTCATCAAGCTTCTCTTTGCTCTCCTGGGCGAACTCTGGGATGCGTTTGCCCTCAGCGCGGGCTTTGGCGATCTAAAATCGGATAGTTAGTATGATATGTCACATTATCTGCAGTGCAGTTGTGGCACCAAGGACAGAACATGGCTTACAGCATCGTCGATATTGGCACCGGCTTCCTTGCCGACATCCTTGCCAGTCTTCTCGGCGTTATTTGTAGTTGGGAGCTTCTCGCGTGCCTTTTCAGCGTCAACTAGAATGAGGGAGAGAGTCAGTTTAATGTTCCGAGGCAGTTCAATATTAACCGAGAAATTTATCTGACAGAACACCTACTCTTCATTTGGTGCTTTGCTGCTGAAGGATCACCGCCGGCAGAGTACAAGTAGTATCCGCCTGCACCCGCCGCAGCAAGGCCCAGATACATGGGAACCCGGTTCTTCGACATGATGCTGTAGTGTAGTGTTGGGAGTAGAAGATGTACGGAATAAAGTGTGTAATTGAAGTAGATGCTGAGGCTAACGGATCGGAGTATCCCTGGTTTTATAGGTAGTTCTTAACACAGAATCGACTATGACGTCTTGTTCCCAGTCCTCGTGCTAGACCCTTGCCTCTGCCTTGTATTTTCTCTTATTCTCCTTTCCTCTCTTTCTATTTCTCCTTCCCAGATGCTGTTTTGCCATTGATGTATTCATTGGCAATTGGATCTTGTTTCAGTAATAATTCCAATCCCCAATCCCTCTTGAATGTCTACAATAACGTTTCCAACGGCGTTCATAGAAGCGCGCAGGGTTACAAGTGGGGACGAACTCAACCTTGGAAGGCCCAGCCCCGGAAAGCTAAACTTCCCGTCGACGTCACCTGCAAGTCATCGCTGCCTCATTGCTATCCGGTTCTGGGATTCTTCCTACTATCCACATATGGCTGGCTATTGTCGCAGAGCAAAACTTCTGGGCCTATGTACGGATGATCCATAGTATGCTATACTAGTAATAGGTGGTTCGGGTCGATCTTGTACTCCACATCCTTACTCGGGCTCCTAAATGCTCCGTTCGCAAGCCCATTGGTCTATGTTTGCATGATCTTTTACATTTGTCGAAGGATAGATTTGCACATGTGATCAGGAGAAAGGCATATGCATTGCAGTCATATTTAGTTCGTAACCGATGTCAAAAACCTTCATAATTGTAGTCCGTTAGAGCATCAGGCACGATCCACCCCAAAAAGAATATAGTAAGACACAAAACGAAAACGAGAAGGCGAGATAAGGAGATAGAGAAAGGGAGGGGCTCGAGATGGGAAGAGTCCGCGTAGAAAGAGAGTGAAATGCAACAACACTCAGCCACAGCGCAGACACCAAAAATGAAAGAGTAACCAAATGATGCACATGACTCCATCCATACAAAACTTCCCATGCGAACGCCAGGACATGCAGCTCAGGACTAAGAACTTCTGAAAAAAAGATTGCCATCCAGAACCGTCCGAAAAAAGAGAGATCATAAACACAAACAAAAGACTCCCGAACACAAGTAAAAGAAAGATGGGCTATGTTTCCCGGTCGTGTATCAGTCGTCGTCAAAGTCGTCAGTTCATCAAGGGCTTAGTCCCCGAAATATATAGAGAAACAAGAAAGAATCGGAAGAGCCTAGGAAAGGCCATTGGGCTGAATGTTGGAAGTAGGAGGGAGCGGAAAGAGTGATTGGGAGTTCGAGATGGACGGGAAGTGAAATGCCAAGTATACATAATGATGATCGCTCTCCAGCTAGTTGCAGGAAGCGACGATCACTTTCATATGTAGAATGGTGTAGTATGGTATAGAATATGAGGGCTGTGTCCAGACAATTTACAGAAATAGCTTGGCTGCTCCTTTGTTCTCACTTGTGGCAACGGCCACAAGAGCCTCTAGGCGACCCATGCCCGAGTGTCGGGCAGGAGAGTCCGAGAAGACGTCGGGCCTAGGCTCCCGGTCGTTATGGGATTCGTAGCCGTCCGCGTGGGAGGACTGGCGGCCACATATCTATGTCGGCGTTAGTAACCGGGGCGATAGCCGTCCGCTCGAAAAGGAGTTCCTACCGGTGGAGGGTGATCGGAAGGCAGTGAGGAATCATGAGATTCGATATATCCGCTGCTGTGCACAATCGCGGGATGATATTCAAGCGATGCGGTGGATGGGGTATGGACACCCTCACTGCTACTGGAATCCTCGGGGGAAGTTCGCGTGCGGCTCCCAGTTGAAAGGCTTGGGCGATGTCCCCGATACTCTTCAGGACTTCTCTCGGCCATTGGGCCGAATGCAGGCTGGTAAGATGACGATGGCCGGGAAGAGACATTTTGGAGTTCCGCGAGCGTTTGTTGACTCCATTGAGTAGCGGACGCAGTGGATGGACGTCGGTCTCGGATATCCAGTCCGGTTAAGTTATGATGCAAAGACATATCCCAGGATACATGGCCTCGTCGGTGACCGGGGCCGGAGATGGGGGGCGGTGGACGGTGGGCTGGCTGTGTGTAATTGAACCCAGATCCAAAACCGTGATTAGGTGGACGATGGTGGCCATCAAGCTGCATTGGGCTGGTTTTCCGAGTGGGAGGGGTTATCGGCCGTTGAACTACTTTGTCGAAACTTTCAATTCCGGGGAGTCGGGGCGGCTGCTCGCTCGAACCGTTCACGCCGAATGAGGCCGGGACATTGTCGGGCGTATGGTATTGGTTCAGGCCACTAGTCGCAGGACGTGGAAACCCTGTGTAGGAAGAAGGGTGCCACGTTCTTCTCCGCATCTCCGCCTCAGCCGCGCTCAAGGTGCCCTCATCACGAGATGCAGAGTAATGTGTGCTAGTAGGACTTGCAAATACGCCAGCGGCGTTCGGATAAGGTGCGCCGGCGGGGGTGTGGTATGCCGGGGGATACGCATTGCCATGCTGTCCAAGGAAAGGGTTGCTACTCGTTGGGACTGAAAGACGACGGGCGGCCGTCTTGCCTTCCCAGAACCCATGGGCTGTGCCAGACATGGGCGACGCAAATTGGGGACTTCCCCCAGTGACAGCGAACATATTGGAGGGGGTGTACGGTGATCCAGCTGTCGAGGGACCAGGGACGCCACGGATTTGGCCTGGGGGTGTGCTCGGAGGTTCTCCCATCGAATCCATCGCCAGTCGGGATCGAGCTGCGGGGTCGTTGGCCATGATCAGAGGAGGGGGCGTCGCCGAAGTTCCGGAGGTTGGCTGAATGTCGAAGCGGTGGACGCAATACTCGAACTTGACAAGTTCCTGCTATGACCCCGGGTATGACCACCAATACTGCCCGCTGTGCCTGCCCGCGCCCGGCCTGGTGGCCGCACTCGATCTGTCCGGACCTGACGCTGGAACCGTGTGCCCGTGGCCGCTAGCGAATCTCCGGGGATTTCCTCATTGACATGGACCGTTTGAGCATGCTGGCGGAGGTTGTCGAGTCGGGAAAACCGCCGAGAGCAGTGGCACTGGAAGGGACGTTCACCAGTGTGTTTTCGAATATGGCGGGCCAAATGTTCGCTCCGGGTGAAGCTCAGATTGCAAGGAGGGAAAGAGGTGCAGAAAAACCGTTGGCCTTTCTTCTTTTTCGAGGGGGGTCCGTTACTCCCCGGATTTTGATCATGATCGGAATCGTCCTGTTCTCCCTCGGAATCGTGCATTGGTTCGTCAGACGTTGACGGTGTTCGAGCGTGGGTTAAGGTTGTGCGGGATGAAGTGTCGCTACCGCGGCTGCGGTGTGAAACTCCGTCCGGGAACTGCTCCGTCGAAGAAACGTCCGGTGTGACCGGCACGCTATTTGAGATCGCACGAGGTGTAGCTGCTCCGTCCATCGCGTGGTCTTCAGGGGCCGAGTTGTTGACAGGGAGAAAGGAAGCCATAGCGACGTAAGAGGGTGGGAGGCGGGAGTGATGTCAGGTCTTCGGAGAGCCAACTGCGAATGTTCCTGACCACCAGTGATCGCAAAGCCGACAATCCGATCGGAATAATCACCCCAAAACCAGTTGAAGTTCTATATGTCTTTATACCGAGTCGGAAAAACCGCAGCGCTACGGAGAAGTCGGGGTGAATCAAGACGCGGAGTCTGGCCGGATTGACTGTGAACATTTGCGCAAACTCAGTAACCTGGACACTACTCGAGTGGACAAAAAAAGAGAGGGAAAAAACGAGAGACCCGAAGAGACTCGGATCAGTTCCAACACGTACGATTTGAAAGTGCGCTTACTCTGAGAGAGAAAGAAGAGAAAGAGGGGCGGAAATAGAATGTGTACTAGGATCCCAAACGCAAGGGCGGGGAGAAGGTCAAGAATGTAAGAAATAAGAGAAAAGGGAAGGTCATTAGCTGATCGCGATCATCTCTGAAATATTTCCAAGAGAGAAAAAAAATAAACGAAAAAGAGATCCGACCAGCCGGGTAAAAGAAAAAGAAGAGAAAAGAGACCAAGGTGCAGTATATATGCAGGATATATATACTATCGAGGGAGGTTATAGAAAAGAAAACAAAAAATGGTGACGATGAGAAGGAGAAGAGGCTTATCAGGAAGCGAGGGGCAAAAAAAGAAAAGAGCAGAGAGCAAAGAGACAGGAACTCGAACAGGAACTCAAAGACCTTCCGGGGCTACCGATGCGAATCATTAGGTGTTTCACCAGATATCCGCGTGTCTCCATTTTATCCAAAAGGCACCAGGCACCTCCATGATTCATTAGGGACTTGAACTACTTGGATCTGGAGCTACTTGGAGCTACGTGGACTCGATTGACCTGGAGATCAAAGTCTAGACCTAATCCTGCCCCCCGGTCGTCTATAGGAGTCTATTATAGAGGGAGGTTAAACCCTCGAGGACTGGTCCTTGACGTTAACCATCTTTTCCAGACCCTGGAAATAGACACTGCCAAGCATCGACAAGTTTGGTTCTTGGGGAGAAAAAAAAAGGTCGAGACTCTTGGTGGAGTTTTTAGGGTTAACCTCGATATACTCCCCATTCCCCTCCTTTCAACCACATCCACCACCCCAATCCCCCTTACATCGCGTGGATGTATCGCACCTTGTCATACTCTTACCAGAAGAATGGTTACGCGGTAGGGGAAAGAGTTCCGAATGGTCCCGATACGAAGTTTTCATACAGTATCGTTTGCTCGAGCCCTTCTATGGAGGATCTCACATTGGTCCGAGCCCATGATAATTTTAGATTTATACATGTAGACTGCGGGGGGTGTTGATAAGAGATAGATCTCATTTCCATATTGTACACATTCTATAATATGGATTCTATACATTCTATACATTCTAGAACATCCCGCTTTCGATATGTACTTATTTCTCCGGAAATGCCCTAGAACCAAGACCGAAATAATAATAAAAAGAGCTCGTCACCTGGGGGATCCGGCAGCTCCGTTGAAACCGCATTCAGGCAACTCCCCATCTGAAACTTTCACCCCCTGGGACTAAGCCCGTTGGTCCATCGTGCCTGCGTCGCTACTAAACTTTCCCCCCACTTCCCTCGAGTCTGCAAACGGCAATTCCCAGGCTTAGAAGTCAATGTTGTACAACATCCTTAGATCCTTGATTCCTTGGTTCTCATGTACCTTAATGTACTCTATTCGCCTGGCTTTATTTAGCCTTGGGATCAAATACCCTGGGAAATAGATTGAGATCTGATGCCACGGCCGATCTGGATGATGTGCTTATTCCCTTGGGTATACTCCGTATTGTAGATCCAAAAGTTCTGACTCATGTACGATACCGCATTGGCCCCAGATCGGCCCCATGGAAGTTCGGTTATGATCCAGCGAACACGATTGGCGGGTGGAAAAGAGGCGATATACACTACTCTTCCCTAGAGACATGGTTCCCTTGAGCAAGGACGGTATATTAAATCTACATTACGTATTATAGTTTGTGGAATATGATTTGGGGATGTCAGCAGGTGCTATAAGTGAAATAGGTGAGGATGGGGCTCCTGCCGCTAGTCTAAATGATCGACAGTTTACTCCGTAGTTGACGTTATCTCCCACGGGAAAGCCACGGGAAAAGTCCCATGTGAATGAAGTACGGAGAAATAAAACATGCAACGCACATATGTCGTCTGTCCATATGGATATACCGGGGTCTCAGAAAGCATGGATAGATCGTCGCTACAAATAGCCTACCTAGGGATGTACGAGAAGAGGGGAAAATCTCAGACCCGGGTACCTGTAGGTACATCTGCAGGGCTGGCAAGGGAGGCGCACGGCCAAGTAGAGCCAGGTACCAAGCCGCAGGGCTTATCGATAAACCTGATTATAGTGCCGGGGCCCATCCGGGTCAGTGGATACATATGCTGACGTCTTTGACTTGTGAGATCTCCAGGGCTACGGTTGAAACTTCCACATCTTCCACGCCTTCCAGAGATCGAGATTTTCTTTATTATGTGGCAGTACTTTGGACTCCGCACACTGCCACCCGTTTTATTGCCCCTGGGGCGATCCGTTTGCCTTTCCAGCCGTCTAATCTGACTGGTCATCGATCATTTACTAATCAGTCCAATCACAGGCCATGCATCTCATACCAGGTCCATCCATGTAAACTGTACCTGATTATGTCGGGATGCGTACCTGGGGGCCACGTAGGAGCCGCCTTATAATGTGACGATATAAATTAAAATAATAATAATATCATAGTCTCGTCTCATATTATATAGCAGCATCTAATGAGATAGATACTGACTATCTAAAACATTAATCAACCTTATAACCCATAGACAGCAATCGATACACACACACAGTACATACAATAAGTCCTAGCAGGAGGCTGAAAGTTCAACTCACATGTGAATTCCAGACCAGACGGCGCGGACAAAGCGCGCTTACCTCTTTAATCCATACCCATGCCAATTCCCACAAGCTAATTGGACCAACCCCCCTCACCTCCTAGCAACTGACATGCATCTGTCCCCTCTGCATCTAGGGCATTGAGTCAACATGCAGTACACATAGTTACCAGCTTTCAGCCATTTCAGAACTGCCTAGATGGTACGCTGCGTGGGAGTCATCTGACTCTAGAACATCCAGCGCTCAGGTACTTGCACAACGTACTTGCAGATGTATATTACTCGCTTATCTGCGGCAAATCATATTTAATGTGTATGTACAGAGTATGTACATTGTATGGGGATTATTTCCGATGCTCGGAGGTTTTTGCTTTGGGTTCTGTACGAGCTGACGATCTAGTCCCAATAACCTGGTACTAAGATGGTTGTCCGAAGGTACCTAGCGGTTTCTTTGTTCCTAGTCAGGTACGCTAATTGTTCGCGCCTTGGCTTCGCGCCTGGTTGGTTGCTGGTACCTGGGACTTATGTGCCGAGGTGCTGGGTGCTTGTTACTTCCAAGGGTCTGTCGCCCATGGTGCGACGTCAAGGTTGAGATATTTACAGTAGTGGTAGAATTTGATATTTGGGATATGAGAGAGCTGGCATTATTCCAAGGTTGAGTATATAAAGAGATGATCCTTATGTAGCAACTATTGCCAGTGGAAAAGTGAAGTCTGATAATGTGGCATTGATGCTTTGTTTACATAGAGTCAGGTGTATAGTGAGAGCTTCTATTAGTTCGTTTCCTAAGACCGTTCACATTCAAACATTTGAGGCTCAAATAAGCATATCCATATGTATGCAATGACAGGAGAATGGGTCTTCCGCCTTTTCCCCATTTATGTCCCTTTCTCTTTCTCTTCTGATCTTCGGATCCGACTCACTCTCTTCCTACAATATATTCTCTCATATCCCCATTTTCATCCTTCCCTTATCACACTATCTTCACTCCCCTCCATTTCCCCGAAGCTTACCACCTCCTGTACAACAATCTTTTCTGACACATCCTAGATGCGCCCCTAGGCATCAAAACACCCCTCAAAGGCATGGGGCAACTACTGTGTTGAACACCTTATATGTGGCAACTGCAACGCAGAAATCAGCCAATATGCTAAAGTCAATGTCGAATGTCGAATGTCTTATGCCCAAAACTAAATTCTTCCAGCAGCTTCTTCACGGCTGTTCAGCTCACGGGGAAGAGGAGCCAAACAAGCGAACAGGCACATGAATAGTGGTTGTATTTTCATGAGTGCAGTCGTTGTAACTTTTTAACACCCTATTAGATCCAGATAACAACACAACGATCCTTCATCCTTGCTTGTCTCGACCGTTAACCACATTAGTTCATCGCCTTCTAGTATCTCATATTCTGTTCTCTTCTCTTGGCGGTCCTCCCATGAGCAACTTGAACACCCTCACACATGTAACGCGACTATCTCTCCGATCTGAGCTTCATCACTACCGATCGGGGGTTCCCTTCTACATACATTGCATTTCGCTGGATACAACCGTTCTCGACCTTCAAAGTTTCATCTATGCGATTAGTACCATCATTTTAAAACTAAAGACATGTCGAATAACCGTCTACTTGGAGGGGCCGGAAGATCTTCAAAAAGAGAATCCACACCCGTGGCAACATTGACCCACAAAACGACAATTGTTGTCTGGCAAGAGCACGGGGACATGGATGCCGAGGATATGCCGAAACACCGGGAGAAAACATACCATGCAATTGTTATCCGTCGCCACGCGATCGGTTCCATGGGACGTCCTGTCCCTCTGGGAATGGTACGAACGCCTCCCTTAGCTTGGCTATTAGTTTGTATTTCCTTATTATCGTCGTCACGTCATTTATCGACGACCTTCATAGTCTCTAGTTCACATCTAAAGATCAGAGCACATCAGATTCGGGCGTAATATCCCACTCTAGATAGATAATACCATACAACTATATTTCTCATTAAAGCTGTCGTCAATCCATGCGATTGACATCATCTATCTTGTATCGAATCTTGAGTCGGTAACATGTACACCATGCTTGCAGTAGCTACAGATTACCGTCCCAGAGAACCAACAATGGAGCTCACCATCACGGCAGCTTCTCGCTCCCAGTTTCCAACCACCACCGTGTCGGTTCCTGGTCGACCCTTCTCGGCTAGCAGGCTGGTGGCAGACACCTGCGACGCACGGAGCACACACTCCTTGATCTCGACTCTTAGTCGGTCACGGTTGGATCGCAATGTACGGGAAGAAACACCGCCTCGGTTGACGATGTCCTGGACACGCGGGGCGAGAGAAGAGGCGATAGAGCGCCAGTAGTAGGAAGGAAGTGATGAGGTGTCTAGAGCCTGGAGAAGAGGCTGCAGGAGATTATATTTGTTCGAGGCCGCTGTTTGGGACTCGGGGGCTGGTTCGTCGGATGTGGCAGTGGAGGCCAAGAGAGGGTGTGGTGGTGGGCGGATGTTTTTGAGAATGCTCTCCAAGGCAACTATATCTTGGCATCGTGCAGAGGTGTCGGCGAGTGTTTGGTTCATGATTGGGAGCTGGGTAAGAGCCCGGGCGAGGGCATTCACGGATGTCATGATCGCCGTGTGCATGAACCCTTGTAGTGTTGACAATAAGAGTTCTGGCTTGTAGTCGGCTGCAGTGCTTGCGCCTTTTGGTAGAGGCGAAAGAAGATATAGAGTTATGGCAGCGGTGGCCAGTCGTGCTCGGGCATCGCGGGCTTGCTTATAGCCAGATGGCATTGATGACTGGCTATTGGTGCTTGCCGAGTTGGAGGACAAAGAAAATCGGCTGATGGTCTGTTGTGCTCTCGACTTGACCATGTTCTCTGCGGGAATGACAAATTCTCCACGTAGAGTGCGAATGGCTTTCACCCGATCCAAACCATAGCCTTCCTCGCCCTGTGTCGTGGCTGAGAACATTTCTCGCAGATTCAAAATTGTGTACGCTGCTCGTTCCAGTGCGCGGAAGCCATCTTTTCCAGGTGACGGTGATGTTGCTCCATCCGGTCCTGATGATGGGGTCGGCCCTCGGCCTGTAATTTCAGAAACCTGACTCTCCAGCTGTCTACCCAGGGTTAAGCAGCGCGCTACAGCCCTTGCTAGGCGAACAGTTTCAAGCGAGTTTTCGGCAGCAACACGAGCTTTGTCAGCTGCTTCCCATTTTTGTACAACCTCCTTTTGGAGGCGCTCGTACCCTTGAGTCACAGAAGCAATTTGCGTCCCTGATTCTTTCAAGATATTATCAGCGGCAGCTGTTTGGCTTTGAGTATGTGAAAGCAATGAGAGTGCTGATCTGGTTGTCAATGCATGGATGTGTGTGTCGATCTCCTGAAGATCAAAGAGCACCCGTGACAATGGTGTTGACAAATCCAACGGGGTATCTGTTGCATTGTTTGTGCTTGTCACCAATGTATTGGCGAATGAGGATGGGGAGAAGTCTGGGTCTAAGAAGGCCTCATAGTCTATGTATGACGGATCTCCTTCCACCATGATGGGTCTAGACAAGTCCAATGTCTATCTCAATGGGGCTGCATAGAAGAGAAGAGCAATGAAGTAACTTGAGAAGATCTTTTAATCCAGCCAATCAGGGGAATGTAGAGTTTGGAATTAATATGTCTTCAATGCGGCTCTCAATGTTTTGACATCAGACGACTTGGTCATTGGAGGAGAGAGGGATATTGGCCTGGAGATAGGAAGCCCACATGGCCGATAACGGATCAGGTGACATTGATTGGTCACCTGATACATTCCCCGGAACCACCACCACAAGCGAGCTAATATAAAAATTGTACTCTATCGCATAGGTTCAACCACAACAGCTTAATCTAATTTCCACTATTGGTTGATAGATATCGATAAGTATTTGTAGTAACATCTATTATTTTGAAGAAATCGAACACTTATATTATTCCGGTGTCAAAGATTACGTCGCTAGCCTCTGTTACACCGGGATTCAGCTTACTCTCTAGCAAGACGGTAGATACGGAGTACCTACAATTTGTATATAAACCACTAACAAAATTAAGTCACTTTTATCATATCAACTACTTCATCCTCAACAACTGCTCCAACAACTGCTCCAACCACTACTTCAATAACTGCTTCAACCATTGCTTCAACAACTGCTTCATGAACTGCTCTATCATAATCAAGGGATTAAAACATGTAGCTATTCAAGGGACAACGTGCGAATAGCACCAACTGGCTTGCTTAAACGATATCGGACGAACAATTCCACCGGTGCCGTTTTAATATCCGCAAAGCTCCATAGTTGCGAATATTGTAGAATCAGTCCCTTTCCATCATACGAAGCCTGAATGATTCTGCCGTGATGACCACCCATATAAGAGAGAACCAAAATCTATATTGGTCTTAGACATTATCACGTAAAACATGGGAAATCACCTACTGGATGGATATGGCATCTGCGAAACGGTTTGTGATTCACTCGAAGAAGCATCATGTTAACGATGGCTCTCAACTCGTGGGTAGTGAGGCTCTGATTTCTATCAGGCCAAATTTGAGCGAGACACGACATAATTGAATGTGGCTTAAGAGGACGACTGGTGTATCGGTAATGATTGACCACACGCCACGGTTTTGGATCTTCAAATCCCTCGTAGACACGAGGGTCGTCTTCTCTTTGGTTTGGGCTAGGAATTGTTAGTCCCATGCTATAATCCAATATTTGACTGTCTACTTACTTCCAACGTTCTTGATCTTTTTTTCTGAAGTTTACAAGTGTGAACCATTCATGCGGTCCGGATCTTCCAGCCTTGATGTGAGACTCAATAGCCTCCTCTACATCCTGGGCATGCGTATATGGATCACGCTCTGGTGGAACATCAAAATCCTCCTCGTATTCCATCCTCGCAATTATAGGAGCGTATTCAGGGAATGCTCAGTTAGGGCATCCTGTATGTAATCATTTAAGGTGGTGAATTGTATGTCCCGTGGATCATCTTCCAAGTGGTAAATGTACATTGGATATTTCTCAAACAGTTTATCGGGGTGTGGTCGAAAGAAACACGGATCAAATTGGAGACCTTCGCCATGTTCCGGGGCCAGGGATACTTGGAATGCTTGAACTCCAAGCCTCTGGAAGTCTTCAGGAGAAAGGAAGTCAGGCTCAAGATCTCTGGCTTGTTGAACAAGGAACCTGAGAAAGGCATGAGGCTGATCTTCTGTCTCGGCCATATTGAGGTGTTTTGAAGGAGTAAAAAAGAGAAAATGTGGAAAGAGAAAATGGTGGACGGTGTAGGTGTCATGCGAACGTTCTCCCAAGGTTTACCTATGTATGCATACGTGTATATGTGTAATCATGGATCCAAACCACTACCCTACAGTTGATGAATTCTCCTAGTCACGCTTCAACATTGGGGTCCTTATTCTCTCTCCGGAGCTTCCAAGATTGCCCAGCCTAGAGGTGCCCAGGTGAAGTTGGCTGATTAGGTAACTTCGAGACGAAGCCCACGAGCCGGGGATCTAAAGTTGCTAGCTAGGTATATTTGAAAGCGCGGACTGTCTCGGCAACTTAAATGGGCTGAGCCACATATGTAGAGTGTATAGGGTCAGAATCCAGAACAAGCGAGTGAAATACCTGGTCTAGCAGAAAGAAAGTTGTTCAAAAAGTTCGAAATTGGGCATAATGTGCTCTCAACCAGGCATATGGAAATTCATGATAGCTCAGATCAACGCCAATGATATGGGAGCATGAATTTAACACGTGTTTTTACTCTCTACGGCAGATGAGTGGTTAAAAGTGGTCACGCCGGTCTTGATTGCATTTGGGCCACAGCCCGGACTCATAAGAAACAGAGAAAGGTAAAAAAAGGAGGAAAAACTAAAAACTAAAAAGGGCCGGCAAGACTTGTCACTCCTGTTTCTTTTCCTCCTTGTTGGAGGGGGTGGCCACTAATTAACTGTTAGCACAACCATTCAATAACAGTGACACTTCGGCGTAGCAAGAAAAACAGAAATCGAAACAGCAACACCACGCAGAGTAGCAACACACGCTGATTGGACTACGCTGTAGTGCTGCGATGTAAAGAGGGAGAGAGTTGTATTTTCCTAAGGGACAGAATGCCCGACTATCTAGTACGAAGGGTTGGTGCCTGTGGCACCGGGCTGATGGTCAGGTGACCACCACAACACACGCCAATACATCAAGACAGGATGTAGTGCTAGATAGCGGCATTTAGCTTACCGATGGCAGTGGTAGCAGCCGGAGGAGCGCTGCTGTTAGAGGCAGGTGCTAAGCACACAAGGTATGTCAGCATTTTGTTCGCTTATTCCGTAGAATTATTTAGGCACACGTACCTTTCTCTGCGGCAGTCTTGGCTGTTAATACGTTAGTCATTCCTCTGTGCGGCACAACAGCAACGGAGAAACGGAACAACGGACCAACAGGGCAACGGAGCAATGAAGCAGTGAAAGACGGCAACATATAAAAGAATGAAGCAAGAAGTAGATGAGATGAAGTGAGAGATGAAGTGAGAGATGAAGTGAGAGATGAAGTGAGAGATAGGTGAAAGTGAAGTGAGAGTGAGGTGAGAGTGAGGTGAGAGTTAATTTTGGGTAAGATATCATGGAAAACAACATGACATGCCCTTCTTGGCCTTCCCACCTCGAAAGATGCGGTGCGACTTGCGCTTTTTCTGTAGCAGTCACATCTCAATCAATATAAACTTCCTCAGAAGCAGGTATATAGGTCTTACGGGGGAGTGGGGGGAGGGACATTCTGTTCAGTGACCCCAATGCCCTCAGGCGGGTGCAATTCTCCTCCGTGTGCCCAGGGAAGTTGCAAACGTGGCAGAAGCCCTGTCCTATATTAGTACGTATTCCGACAATCTATAGATGGAATATGATGGTCATGGTAGAAGTATCATTGCATTGAGGATTGGGAGGGATGCAGGAAAGAAAGGTATGGCAGTGGTGATCAAACTTACACAGGGCTTCCGCGGCGGCTGGGCATCTGCCATTGGGGAGATCTTGTTTTCTTTATAAAAAAAAGAAGAAGAAGCAGAAGAAAGCGGCAGCACAAATGATGCGAGCAGTAGAGGTGTATTGTTGACAAGAGGAAATTCTTAGGTGGAAGCTACTGCTTTTATCCCAAGGGCTCCTTCTTCAAGACAACACACGGAGGCTCTTTCCCGTGGATTTTGCTGAAGCGCACCCCTCGTTCACCGATCAGGAAAGGTTTTAGAGACCATTGCAAGAATGGGTCGAGTCTGGAAGGAAACAAGTTGCCAGTGACAATGAATAATGAGAGAAGCTTTACTGGCGTGTCAAAGGACTAAATAGGGGCCTGGCAAGTGTCTACGTCGAGGATTGAGAACCATGAGTTTCTCGAATAATGTTGGCAAGAAGATCATAAGGCTATAGTAGTGACTGATAAGTCTTTTGTCAACTATGAAGTAATAGTCCAAAGATTTACCAATCCCTCGTCGGTTGTCCAGTCAAGATTAAGACCGACAGACTATAGGCTCGGGAAAGATCTTATAAATTGGGGAGGCTAGATGCTAGCACACAAGGGATGTTTTCTTGAAGAACCAAACGAGCTAACTGGGTATCAAAAAGGATGTGATTTAAAGATTCGCCATGAGATTCCGCCAATGTAGAGTTTTCTGCGAGAACCAATACCTAATAAACATTCTCAAGGGTAGAAGCTCTTTTAAAAAAGACGTAGAGCTAGCCTTCGTTCGATATAGTTAGAGCAATCTTACATATAGGGAACTTAGATTGGAAATGCTTATCCCAGGAGTCTCTAGGGTGTGAAAGCAGCTATAGATATATAATGATCTACCCAGTAACTGAATCCAATATACCTCGATCAAAGACAGATATACGGAGTAACCTGATTCCTCCTATAATCACCTAGACAAACAGACATATTCATTTTCTATAAATCAATATCCTACGGTTTCATTTGGCCCTTTGCTGCTCTTCTAACCACTGCCGTGTGATACTCTCAAAAGTGCAAAACTGAACTGCGTCCCCCCATCCCCGGAGCCACCCTACAAAACGATCAACCATCCCTATCACATGGGACATGCCACTGGTATCGGGATGCATCAAGATAGGGAAGACAAAGCTTCCATCGCCCCCATCAACGTCTGCATTCTCCCACAGCCACAGAAACATGTCCTTCCATCTCTGCTCAACCACCCGTGCATCAACCTGCCCATTGGTATTGTCGAGATGCGGGAAGTACTGTAACGCCATCATATCTTCATTATTCCAGCCGGTCGGAATTTCCACAAGTGGGTGACCGACGGGGCGGGCATTCGTCTCAGAAAGTGGCGTGGGGCGCAACCACGTACTGGCCGGCTGGGAGAAATCCACCGGTTTAATTGGCGGATCGCTGGGTGTAAAATATGGCTGTGAGTCATGGTGACTCAGGGAGGAGTCATATAGAAATTCAAACTCCCTCAGAAGCTCGATTGTTGTTTCGCGCAGCTGGTACATGGGCGCGCGATAGCCTTGCACTCTTTTGCCGGTTAGCCGCTGGGCCAGTTCCATGCACTTCACTAGCACATCTCGCTCTTGACTTGGTGTCATTTGGTAAGCACCTTCGTGGGAATAACCATGAAGTCCTATCTCGGCACCGGACTTAACAATCTCCTTGACAGTCGCTTCAAAGGTTTCCATCGTGTGCCCGGGGATGAACCAAGTGACTTTGTCGGCTACTTGGTGTTTTTGTAACATGCGCAGTAGCCGATTGGCACCCACTCGACCGGCGAATATGCCTGTGCTGTAGTCTGCCAAGTTGTTGTCTGGATGGTGTCCTGTCCCCAGGAAGGCAGAGACTGCGTCAAAGTCAAACGACAAAGCAACTTTGACCTTTGGGTGCTTATGATGGAAGGGGAGACTTTGGCAAAGCTGGGTATTCTCAGCAACGAAATTGTCGCTTTTGCTCTTTTCAGTAGGGTTTACACTCGCAATGTCGCTGAGCGAGATTATTCCACAGGTGGGTTTCGCTGAGACCAGTGTCGCTGTTGCCGCGACGATGGACGCGACAGAGGCCTCTCTTGAGGTGCTAAGATCAAGGAAGTTGAAAGAAGCACCCGGGTGAAGTCGTGAGACGTCTCTCTGGAGTTTAGAAATAACTTGATCGAGTGAAACACCGAAGAAATCTTGATAACCGAGGACCACAACAGAAAAACCGCTCCCTGGTTCATTCTCATGGGGCTTCAACTTGCTGACCTGGAATTGGTGCTGAAGGAACAACTTTGCCTGCGCCAGCATTTTCCTCCGACAGCTCATGGATGTGTGTCCCTGATCCCATTCACTCAACGGAATCTCCCAAATCGAGTCTAGCCCATATGGCTGCTGCGTTCTGGCATCGATAATAAGAACCTCTATTCGGTCCCCAAGAGCGCTGAAAGCGGTGTTTACCTGAGCCTGAGCTTCGGTCAAATTGCTAGATATTAGATGATCTAGGTTGACCGCGATAGTCTTGTTCTTGGTACCTTGATAGATGTTAGCTGATATATAATTCTCCATTTCTAATTAAACTTACCGCCATAGCAAGCACGAAAAGCCTCTGCAAATGGTGCAGAGGCCCCTGTTATGATGATAGATTGGTTACTCAGGGAGTGAGCCATGTTTGTGGAATATTGCAAGTCTGAGATTTTTTAGATAGGAGCCCAAGGGTAAGAGGGATGGATCGTGCTTTATATTTGTGAAGTCGGAATATATGAACTTCACCGGACAGCCATAATGTATAATAGGTCGGTCCGGTGGGGAAATATCAGGCCCGCGAGCATATCCAGATCCGGCAACAGCCAGCGAGTAGAATGGGTATGCGTTACCACTCAACACGGGGGTCGCGATAGTGATAGGAAATTTTTCTCGATAAAAGCTTGTTGCCACTACGCAGTACTGTGAAATCATAGGTCTTATCAGAAATGAATTCGTATGGCAAGAGCTAGCGAAGAGAAATTAGCTTGTACTCCGTAGGTTGATTCGACATACGATATAATATATCTAAAAGAGACAAAAGATAAAAGTATCTCTTAGCCAATACTATCGTCGGGTTCAATCGCATCTTGGTTTTCAAGTAAGAGCCAGCGACCTGTTCTCACATATCTTGAAAGGACGAAACCTTTCTTGTAATGGACTAAGGGAACTGTAAAGATAAAGAAAAGCCATAAATATCCAAAGCAATTTCCATCGAAAGATGTGAGTGATATACAATCTTACATACTGCGTTGCAATTCATGTCTACTGCCATGGCACAGTTTGAAACCAAAGAAAACCCTGGCGATCTCGAGTCTTCCCTCCAAGGATCGACAAAAGAGGTTACTGAGACTCAGGTCACGCCTGTACTTGCGAAGAGCTTTAATCTCCTGAGTGCTTGTGCAACTGGAATCACTACCGGGAATGCTTGGGCGGTCCTGGGAGGCGGAATTGTAAGCACCAGATACTCTCTCCAAATTGTGCACTACTAACACATCTTAGATTGCCTCACTCTACAATGGTGGACCACCTGGAGTAATATACGAGTTGTAGGTCCCCACACGTTTACGGAAGTTTTTCCTAGGATGCTTACCCGAAGGATAGCGCCACTGCCTCCTTTTTCTATTGCTTCATTGCCGCATCAATTGCCGAGCTCGCTTCTGCTATTCCGGCATCTGGAGGCGTTTATCACTGGGCTACAATAACCGCTGGTCCTCGTTATGGCAGGTTGTGCGGCTGGTTTGCAGGGTGGTTGAATGGCCTCGCATGGACATTCGCCGTAGCAGGGAACTGTTCCATGACAGGAAGCATGATTGTCTATTCATACACGCTCTACCATCCAGAGGTAAAACCGCAGCGCTGGCATGTTTTTGTTTGCTATTTGATCATCACCTGGCTATGTTGTCTTACTGTGATGTTCTGCCAACGGGCTCTCGCGGTCATCAGCAGGATCGGATCGTTCTTCATTATTGTCGGTTTTGTCATCTCAGTCTTAGTTTGTGCTATTATGCCAAGCAGGGATGGAGCAGGATATGCATCGAATGAATTCGTCTGGGCAGACTGGAACAACATTACTGGTTACTCTGACGGATTCACATTCCTTGCAGGCATGTTGAACGGGGCATTTGCAATCGGCGCCATTGACTGCGTCACTCACATTGCAGAAGAGATTCCTGAGTAGGCAATATCGGTCTATGGTAATGCTTCTTTCGCTGACACTTCGACTAGTGCGAGACGGAATATCCCCAAAGCACTTGCTTGCCAAGTGACCATCGGCTTCGCAACTGGTCTTTGCTATCTGATTTCCATATTCTATGCTGTCACCGACCTATCCCTCATTGTGAACGCCGATTCTATCTCTCCTCTCGGTGATATCTATTTGCAAGCAACCGGTTCCCGAGCAGGTGCAGTGGGGCTTCTTACACTCACGATCGTACCCATCTTCATTGCAACGATTGGATGCTATATTACCGCAGGAAGGACATTCTATGTCCTGGGTCGCGATAACGCGACGCCATTTTCCAAACATATCGGGGCTATAAGCCCGAAATGGCATAGCCCACTGTATGCAACTTTGGCATGCGGAGTGTTTCTGACATGTATCGGAGCAATTTATGTGGGATCCTATACTGCCTTCTCGGCCTTTATCGGTTCGTTTGTGCTGCTGACGACAGTCTCATACTTCCTCGCGATATTTCCACATTTGATAACTGGACGCAAGAACATCCGCCCTGGTCCATTTTGGATGGGGAAAATTGGCCCTGTTGTCAATTCTGTCGCATGCATGTACATTGCTGTCTCTTTTGTGATTTACTGCTTCCCTTATACCCTGCCAACATCCCCGGAAGATATGAACTATACCAGTGTGATCACATGTGGATTGACGTTGTTAGTGGCGCTGTGGTGGATATTGCACGGAAAAGGGAACTATACAGGACCGCAAGCGGAGTTGCACTGAGATAGGCTGAAGCATTCCATGCCAGTCTGTCAATGGGTTGAGCCAATGATATCAATCGAAGATTATACATAGAAATGTCGTCTACCAAATTAAGCCTTTTCTTGCCTTCTTCCACCGTAAGAAGGGAGAAGATATCTATAAAAAGAAAATCTAAAGAACTACTATCAACCCAACTAATGGCAGAGGCCGCAAAAGCCATTATCCTGGTGTGGCTAAAAATACGTCTATTCTACATGTCCAACTGGTCTAAGATTACTTGCTCTCGCTGGCTCCTTCCCTTTTCAAAAGGCCTATCCAAGATAGGGTGATAAGATAAGACACTGATAAAGAATTGATAAGTCCTCGGCTTTCCAACCTGATAAGGCCGAGTTCATCCCCAAAATATGTTATGTCATGGAATCAAGATATTTGAACCCCACAGTCTTGGGGTCCAGAGCAGATATCTTTGCACAAGGGGCACATCATCGGCTATTACCTGCAATTATTGGTCCTCACTGACCCCGTATCTCAAGCTAGCTCCACTATCGAGAACTGCGTGGTCTTGACCATCCAACTGCACGTTGTGCCATAACGCGGGTCTCTCTGATACCCTTACGACCATCGAAAGGTGACTACCATTGCTCATATTGACAGTCAGACCGATACAATGGGTGGCCCCGTGACAGCTCCTAGAAAACAAACCAAACGTATTCGCCAAGCAAAGCAGAAATCGGTGACATTCACAGGGTAATACATCAAGTTTCAACTATATTCGAACTTCCACGTACCTTTCAAGCTGACATGAACAGATGCTGGACCTGCAGGTCTCGGAAGGTCAAATGTGATGAGCGTCAAGAAAATGGGTGTCAAGTTTGCCAGAAATCCCGCCTGGAATGCGCCGGCTACGGTGTGAATCTGTGCTGGATTACAGATAAGAAGCGAGATATTCAAGGCCTACGACGCAGGCAGGTCAGACTAGGTGAGTTCCGACCCTCTTCTTGGCCTTGTTTCAAAGGCACATTCACTGATAGATATCATAATTAAGAACAATCCACTTCCCCTAGCATTTCGGATGCCGAGATCAACCGAATGATATCCTCTCTTGACATAATCTCAACACCGTCGCGCACAGTCAGTATAGGGCCCTTTTCAATATTCTCCAGCCGGGAACATGGCGGCATTGAATATCTCGAACCTCACGCTTCTTTGGAGAACAGTCATCAGACTCAGGACTGTACTTCTGAGATCGCTCCTAGTCCAGTGGACACAGTTGACTTGTCCAGCGGAGATTTTGAAATAATTACGAATGACAATGTCATTTCTAATTCAGAAATCCATTTCATAGATTTCCCCTCAGACTGGGAGTCAGTGATAGCCATGATGGATACACCGAATTCTCCAACATTACCATACTCGAGAAAAATGTCACTCACAATATATCCATCACCAGACATGGAGCTTTCAATACCTCTGTTCAAAGATCACAATACGTCAATGCTTATGTATCACTACAAAAATCATGTCGCGGAGCTCCTACAACCAGTTTTCCATCCGAGGAACCCTTGGCGCACAACATATCTCCCATTCGCCCTCGAGGGCTGCCCTGAGTTCTGTCTCGTCCAAAATCCGGTGCCTTCCTCGGAAGTCTCGATTTCACTATTCCACAGTATATTATCATCGGCTGCATTCCACCTCCGGAACATCATGGGTGGTTCACGAGAATACCACAAACTTGGTCTCCAGCATCGGGCCAAAGCTTTACAAGCACTCAAGACTGCCCTCATAACGCCCAATGACTCCGAGAAATATACAGTCTATCTCACGGCAATGCTGGCCTTGGTCACAATCGATGTAGGTAGCTTTCGCTCCACGTTATAAAAAAGTTTATTAAATCTAACAAATCAGACAATGACGGGAGAAGATTCAGATTTTCCAATTCATCTCAAGGGTTGTCGTCAGCTGGAAAGACCAGGCCGTGCGTCCGATTCACTCAATGACTCCAGTCGGCAGGTTAGCAGTATTTGCCATTTCCTAAGCCTACTGGCTCGAACGACAGCACACGAGCTAGAGCATAGACAATGGACAACAGAAGGTCCATTATTTGAGCAGCCTTACTTCCACGACGACGACACCAACATCCAATACATGTATGGGATTACCCCATACCTGGGGAATCTTCTACAAAGGACCTGTCAGGTGGCCGAGTATTTAGCCTTCTACCAGGGTGCTGAAGTGCCAACAATCTTGCTGGAGGCATGCTCGGCATTAAAGGATGAAATCTTTTCGTGGGATATAGACTCCGAGTCTTTCCATCACGTCATGCTAGAGCAGCCGACGATGCTTGAGATAATACGTTGCCAGGCTCTATCATTTCACAGCGCGATCGCAATTTTTTATTATCGAGCAATTGAAGACTCCAGCCCGGTGGATCTTCAGCAGCAAGTAGGGGCAATTTGGAAGAACCTTTCGCTGGCAGAAGACCTTAAAGATGTATACTCAAGTGACGGAAAACGCGCAGCTCCTATGTCTTGGCCAGCATTTATCGCTGCATGCGAGGCGATCGATCGACAACCTTGGGTTGAATGGTGGGAGCGAGTCCAGAGGTACTCAATGGGCAATTTCAAAAGGCAATGGAAAGTCATACAGGAAATCTGGAACATCATGGATTTAGATGAGAATGTGCTTAACTGGAGAGATGCGCTCAAACAATCGGGCAAGTTGGTCTTGCCTATCTGAAAGCAAAGTCTCATATAGCGTGATTCATACATGGTTGAAATCTCAAAGTTTGAAACATATGTCAAGCTCTGCTCACAGCTCATCTCTTGAACTTGGCGCCTTCACCTTAGGACCTGTCTTCAACTTCGACATGGAAGCCAGAATATCAACGATCAAGTCCGCAGCAGCAATAGAAGTAGTCTCAGCAACGGTGTCATATGGTGGGCTGACTTCCACCACATCGGCACCAACGAGATTCACACCTTCAAGGCCTTTAATGAATCGCTTCAATTCACGAGTGGTCCATCCGCCCGATTCAGGAGTTCCGGTCGCAGGGGCAATGCTCGGATCGAGGACTAGTTGAGGATTAGTATCTGCTGTGTCTTAGATAGAGGAAAGGGCAATCTCACCGTCAATATCAATGGAAAGATAAGTCGGAGTATCCCCGACAACACTCCGGACCTTTTTAACGATCCCGGACATGCCGATATCGTCAATCTCATGGGCCTCGATAATCGTAAATCCAACATTTCGGTCGATCTCGTAATCCTTAGGACTCTGTTGATAATTCCGATTAGTATTCATTCCCGACAAGAGCCACCCACAACTCACAAAAAGCTTCGTTCTTAGACCTCCATGCACACTCGTCCCCTTGGCAATACAGCCCTCCCGACTCGCATGCCAGAAGAAAGTTCCATGTGTAATTGCCGACTGGTTGGACGCGATTCCAGTGTAACCCTCATAAGGATCCCAAGTGTCGAGGTGCGAATCTAAGTGAATAACGGAGATCGGCCCATACACATGTTTCAATGATCGCAAGATAGGCAAGACAATCGAGTGGTCTCCACCCAGACTCACGATCCGAGGATGTTCCCATGAGTTTTCCTCGGACGTCGGGTGGTAAAGAACCTGTCTGTAACCCTGCTCCATTTGTTTGAAAGCGTGCGCGGCATCGAATGGGGTGATGGGTATATCACCACAGTCAATCTAGTGATGGATTAGCGATCCCGACATTGCATTTCATAAACTTCATCGATTTAAAATGCACTACACTCACAATTTCAAGTCCCTCTTCATATGGATCCACCTCCCACACGGTGTTATAGCTTCGGCCCTTCTTCTCACGCGCCGATCCTGCGCGGATGCCTCGAGGACCAAATCTTGCTCCGGGACGATATGATGTTGAGGTGTCGTAGGGGAAGCCAAGAATGGCGATGTCAAGAGGCTTTTGCGAAGGTTAGGTCTCTGTGGAATTATTGGTAAACAAATGTTTCGGCTGCATACGTTATTGTGAGATGCTGCGAGACATCTTTGCCATTCTAGGTGGGCAAATGTGACTGGCTGAGAGAATGGAAGATCGACGTCGAGATCTATTGTTTGTTTAGTATGTTGATCTTTGGGTCACCTTGTGTGACTGACCTTCTATCGGATGACTATATTCTGGGCCGATATTCAAAGCAATAGCGCCCTGCAAAAGAAGAGATAATGTGGAAGTAGTGAAGCGCATTTTGAAGATTGTTCGACAAATTCAAAACGTTGTACATGAGTAGAATTGGGGGCAGCCATTGCTCTTTATAAATTTAGCGCTATCTTAAGACCAAATAAAACAGATCAGCAAATCCTGCAAATCCGATCAATGAGACATGCTGTCTCGCTGACTCTTTCCACAATCATCGTGGGGTTCTTGCCAAGATCGGCCAGGTGGAGATATTGAGATAGTACTAGTAGTAGTAGTTGCAATATCACAGAAGAAAACGAATTTGAGATTAGAAACTGTGAGAAAATGGTATGTAATTCTTTTAATTTCAAATAATAAAATTTAGGGTTCAATCATCATCTAATCTGTGAAGCCCCAATATGATGCGAGCCCATTCAAATCAAAACACATGGCACAACGACTACATACTAAGACGACCACATAAATATCCCGAAATTGCTTAATGTGGCGTGAATTCAATCTGACACTCATGTTCCTGTCTCCATGATTAGTGAATCCTCGAGAGAAATATGTTAGCTAAACATACCCGCATTCGACTACAAGTATCATCGTAGAACACCTCATAGCGACCTGTGATACCAGGGGAGACAGTGTCAAAATCCCCCATTGGTGTGGTTCTGTACTTTCGGTATATGGCTGCGACCAAAGTAGTCATTTCTGCCATTGCCAGACTGCTTCTCGTTAGCCATCTTTCATGGTCACGACTGGAAGTCGACTCCACGGAAACAAAGAACATACTGCATGCCAATACACATCCTTCCACCGCTGGAGAATGCCCAGAACCATTTCTTCATTTCTGCCAAGTTCTCACAAGGATCCAACCAGCGGTCGGGATTGAATTTCATGGGATTTTTGAAAACGTCAGGGTTACGATGGAGCGCGTATGGGGAGATAGAAACCACCGTCCCAGGTGGAATCGTGTAGCCATCAATTATGGTTGCCGTGGGAAGTGAGCGTGGTTCTGATCCGGGGAGAGGTGCGTAGAGGCGTAGTGTCTCTTTGATAACTGCATCGAGGTAAGAAAGCTTGTCGCTGTTTTCGACTTTGGGGATGCCATTCGAATCGAGCGAGTCTTCGGGAATATTGCAGACTTCCTCAATGAGTTTGTCTTGGAATTGTCTGTTTTCTGGTCGAGAAAGAGCCCAAATCAGAAACATCAGTGTGTCGCTGGTGGTGTCGATGCCTGCCAAAAGATGGTCGGCACATTCCGATGCAATATCAAGATCATCTAGTCCCTTTGGCTTTTGGGAATGGTGGTGGCTCCACAGTCTGGATATCAGGGCCGATGTGCTCGCTTTCGCGCTGGCAGAAGCACTGGCATATTTCTGAGTGGCTTTCAGCGCGTGAAGTCTGATACCGCTGTACGTCGTTGGCATTTGCATCGGGTAAAACCGTTTCGCAATGCAGCCAGTAACCCCGGTCCTGGAGTAGAGCCATTCCGTGAAGTGGGGGAAGTGAACTGCATACCACGATAGCTTGCGGCGGGCAATATCGATAATGTCTCCAATGAGTGCGCAATCTTGTCTCTGTCCCTCGAGACATGCAGTCTTGCCGAAAGATCCGTAAAGAAACTCGGTGATTGTGTCGAGGGAGAAATAGTGCAAGGTAGAAAAGATCTCGCTTTTCCCCCCATCTCGTTCCAACAGATCCATATACAGTTTGACTTTCTGCTCGACCATTTGTGCATTCTGTCCTTTGAGCATCACGGATTTGGCGTAGGCGTGGGCAAAGAGCTTCTTCCTTTCTCCATGCTGCTTCGTGGTCGCGAACGAGAACATGTTCTTTCGACCGTAAACCTCAAACATGTGGTAGAAGCCAGTTCGCTCAAAACCACTTCCAGCGCCGTAGATTGCACGCAAGGCCGATGTGCTGTTGAACGTCACCTCACTGGGGCCGATACGAACGACGGGTCCATACTGGTGATGGAGAGCATTGATCTTTCGCGTGCGAGTTCCTTTGTAGTCTTCATAGGCTAATTTGAACTTGGTCAAGGCGAAAGTCTTTGGGCCGGGAATTCGTGCAAGAGAGCTAAACAAAGTGGAAACTGAGAGTTGGTAGACAAGAAAGGCTACTATGCATGCAGCGATCAGAATCCAAGTCATTGCGTTTCACTTTGCCAAGCGGCGATAGAATCAGGACGGGATGGTATTTCGCATTTTTATTAAGGATTTCTTTATCATCTTTATAATGACTGAATGTGTGAATAGTTTTTCGACCTTCGATGAATAACTAAGTGAGTCATTTATCTCAGTCTGCGAAAACGGCAACCGCCAGCGAGACTTTGGGGAGCGTGGCGTCGGATTTCTTGGAAGTTGGAGATTGTGATAAACAATTTGATCGGAAACATGTTAGCATATTTGTTTTGAAGTATTTATATTTCCAATTGAATCATGCAGATTACCCTGTACCATCCTTGACCTGTCAATTTTTCTCACGCCCGTTCTTCAGAGTAGGCATCCTTAGCAATCATCCCAAAAATGTCAAGTTCATCTGTCCCAGCTTTGGAATCGATTCTAATGACACGAATCTCAATGCGATGGGCATCAGAAACACCCTTCGAAACCACCGACACACTGGTGATAATGGTTGGCGAATGGTACGTCGATCTGCGAGTCGATAAACGAACCGGCAAAATCGACTGGGCCCTCGCAGGAGAATGTGTTCAGGAAAGCAAAGACCCGCGTATGATCTCAATCGGATTTTCTGACCATGGTGCATCACACAATAAACGACTAACTTAACACAGGGCGCGTGGTGTTCACCCATGAGATTGACTCCCACCATAATTTCAACGTGAGCAACCCATGTCCATTCATCCCGCTACCCAATGGAGATGTTTTGGAGACTGGGACCATGGCTCGACCAGATGTACCCGGAGCGGTGATGACGGATTATGAAGAGGTGTGGAGGTATGTTCCGTTTCGCAAAGGGCCAGATGGGCCAGGGCGTGGTCTTTCGTGGATCTTGGAGTCTCTTGAGGGTGTCCTGGAAGAGGGCCAGCACCAAGTTACCAAATCGTTTCTAGCACAAATTGGGGGCTCCTATTTGGTGCTTTATCAGAAGCAGATCCACATGGTTAGGCGAACATCCCTTGGCGAATTGGTTGTTCAAATCACTGGCGAGGAGGTGAGCGCGCGAAGAGAAGAGTGGACGGATGGCCAATGGGAGATAAAATATGCATTGGGACCAGCCAGTGGTGGTTTGCCTTCAATGGCTAATGGGCTGGATGTTGCAATGCGAGGGCGTAAGAGTGGTGAGAGGGTCACCATCAGAGGCTGCGACTTCATTGTGCGTGCAAGTGGTTCAGAAGCCCCAGAAGCCCCGAGGAAAACCAGGCAATATCGTCTCTAGACTGGATAAAAGGCTAGACAAACAGAAATATCGACTTTTTTTCCTATCACTCAGGGGCCAGCACCGCCTCGAGATATATATATAAACTAATTCTAGTATGCTGAGCCCAGCTCAAAGGCTTAGGTTGGGTTTGAACCATCTTCCCTCCAGCCCCGGATAGACAATGGTTTGATGTATCATATTGATCCAGCTCATGGGTATAAGGCCTTGAATTTCAAGATAGGTGTAGATCATTTTCTTCCACGTTTTCGACTCCTCGAGGGAATAATCATATTTCCTAGAGCTCTCTGTAGATCTACGTATCGTCTAAAGGAAATACATCAAATGAACAATTTACCTATGCTATCGGTTCAAGCATGGAGCTCTCACTTATCTTGGTTATGTAGTTTTCGAAGCTATATTACACCAAGAACCGGAGGAGAAGCGACTATCTAGTCCTAACGGGAGTCCAAACGTCTAGTGGACTTTGCTGTCCTGCGATAGTAAATGTCATGTGATAGTCGCATATGCAAGTATCCGGCTTATATAATGATCAGGTGATGGTGATGCTCAGCGAGCTTAATGGCTACGATACACAGGGGCGTGCTCAGCTCTACAACATACTCAGTGAGTAAAAAGCGACCAAGGGTGCGCACTAAGGGAAAGGGGAAGCCATCTCGCGCGGCCTGAAATCCGGTGTGTATTGACAATGCAGGCAAATTCGGGGATTCAGAGGCAGAGAACCAACTTTGAAACCTTGACCAATCTGATAATCTTATCACAATGGCATGATACGCCGCTAGAGCCAATATTTACTTGATTTCAAATCCGAAATAATCCAGACGCATTCAATGTTGACAAGCCTCTGTTCCAATTTGCTGCCGGCGCCTTCCAACGACAGAGCGGGGTCCCCCATAGATAAGAGCTCGGAGGTTAGCCCGAGTACCGGACCTCGAACTCTCATCATTAAAAGGCCCAGTCCCCGAGTTAGTGCGGTAAATCAAGACAATCTTTCATCATGTCGACATCTACAACAGTAACACAGCAAGTGCAGTCTGTTCGCTTGACCAATGAAGACCAACTACCCCCACTACCACCAGCGGCAAACGATGCATCGTTCCAGGGCCTAGCTCGTGGAGGCCGAAATGGCACTCTGAAACTCCGCGGTATTCCCACATTTTCAGATCTGACCGAGAAGCGCAAGTGGATGAAGGAGCACATGGCTGCTGCATTCCGGTACTTTGGCAAGCTAGGGTATGGGGAGGGTGTCTCCGGGCACATTTCGATGCGAGGTAGGTTTGATACAGACACATTGTTTAAATGAAATATACCTTATGGGAGCAAGAATATTCTGACGACTTGCAGACCCAATCCTCAAGGACCATTTCTGGATGAATCCGTTCGCCAAACATTTCTCGACTATCAAGGCTTCGGATCTCGTTCTTCTGGATGCTGATGGATTCGTCGTCGACGGTGGAGCTCAGCTGCCTGTTAATGAAGCTGGATTCCTGATTCATTCGGAGATCCACAAAGCACGCCCAGATGTTGTGGCTGCGGCGCACACGCACGGTATTCATGGAAAGACGTGGAGTTCATTTGGAAAGCCAATCGAGATGCTTACACAAGGTTAGTGGCTTTTCCTTTTACACTTGAATTCGCATTAGGAGTTTGGCTTTGTGCTAACGAGCTGGATGAAGACGCATGTAACTTCTTTGGCAGAGTGGGTGTTTACGAAGACCATGGCGGCATTGTTCTGTCGGCAGAGGAGGGAAAGGCGATCGCAAGGGCGTTAGGCAAGGAAAACATTGCATGTATCTTGCAAAACCATGGGTGAGTCGATTTTCGCCGTTGCGTTTTCTGTATGCGTCTAGTTCTCTCTGACTTTACTCATGTATAGCCTCCTAACTGTCGGTCGAACTGTTGATGAAGCTGCGATCCTCTACTCTATGCTGGAGAATGCTTGTCAGTCACAGCTTCTTGCTGAAGCAGCAGCAGCCAATGGCCTTCCAAAGAAGATTATCAAGGATGATGCGGCCAAGTTCACCGCCGATGCTGCTCAGAATCCCGTAAGTGGAATAGACACATATGCCAAAGCACCTGAGAATATGTACGCTGACAATTTTTAGCACAACTTCTATACCGAGTTCCAGCCTGAGTATGATTTGCTTATCGAAGAGACAAACGGAAGGTTTCTACTGTAAAGTGTGAGCAATATATAACAATTTCCGATTCGGTTCAAAGCATTTCAAGACAATATCGCTTTTCGAGAAGTAGAGATTGTACACGAGTTTTTCATAGGCATAGCCAGTCAGACTATCCAACTGAGAAGAATAATACAAAGCAAGCAGATATTAATGTAAACAGGTATCGAACAAATGAATATGGAAATCAATTCCTTCAGAACAAACGCCATCTATACAGATGCAACTGCGGCAAGGGTATACAGAATGGAAAAGATGCATCAAAGAGTCCGCGATAGACCGGAGCGCAAGAAGGAGAAAAAATTGATATAACAGGGCAACAAAAAGTCGTTCATCGCCCCAACGGGGAACATCAACGATGGGGCGAGGGGGCGAATGCGAAATCATACAGCATGCTCGCCCGTGTGCTTCATATCATCCATTTCATATTCTTGCAAGCTACGTTCTCGACCGCGGCCGCGGCCAAAGCTCGACTCCTGCTGACCATCGCCGGCGGATGCTTGTGGCGACGAGCCAGCTTGGGCGCTGCCATTATGTCCACCAAACTTGATAGGCTCCAGCTCCCGTCTTTGGCATGCCCACATGCCAAGGAACGTCATCATTGATGCACTGGCGAATTGAAGCGCCCACCAGAGTAGGTTTGAAGGGAGGGAGTGGGTGTATAAAGTAGTGGCGATGAGGTGGAGGAAGTGGATCGTCAGGGCGAAATCCGGGACCAATTTTGAGCGGGATACGAAAACGAGTAGGAACATGACGCTAAGCATCCCCGAGAGGAGCTTATAATTAGCCGCTGATCGAAATGCTGCTCACGATGTGGAATTCAGCGGACAACTCACCTAATAAAGCAATTCAACATCCACACTAACCCCAACATCCATCCAAGGGTCGTATCACCGCGCAGAGAGTCCCAGCCGAAGACCAGGTCTAGAGAGAACGGGGCGCCATAGACAACTGTCGTGAACAAGATGAGCACCGTGGCGCAGGCATAGTATGCGAGCTGCAGCAAGAGGATCTTGCGGACGATCTTCAGCGGAGGGAGTTCGGTGCGTGACCCCGCTGGCGGACGTCGGCGCGCGGACATCAACTAAATAGACACTGGGGGCTCTTGTCACCCTCGCAAACTTCGTTCAAGATCGAGGTGTCAGGTCGGATTGAGCTTGAGGCTCGAGGCTCGAGGCTCGGGTAAGATGGTGGAGGCGAAGGGAAGGGAACATGCAATGCGGTGAGGGTGTTCCAAGTGAGATCCAGGGACGATAAGTATTTAGTGCTAGAGGCCTCAAAATTATACGTAAGTTCCAGAACGTGGAGTGCGTAAGTGAGAAAGGGTCCGGAGATGAAGATCGCCTGCTTGGGATCAACAGTCTTGGCGGTCACAGGCCCGACCCGCCAACATCTGGGCATCTGCCGTCACCGACACCTTTTAGCTGCACAACTTGCTACAAACCACAGAAGACTCTACTATTTTGAACTCGACAGCTCAATTCTCACCCGCTACCTCTCCAATATAACCATTTCTCCAAAATGGTCTGGCTACCTTGGTCTTCCGGCGATTCAAACAAGAACGCAGCCTCCGACGGCGGCCGCATTGCCCCAGACCGAACGAGTCGCGCACGCTGCTGGGAAGGCCGTGATCATTTTTTCGCCTGCCTTGACAAGAACGATATCCTGGACGCTATTAAAGATGATAAGAAGGCGCGACAGAAGTGCGCGAACGAGGTCGCGGAGTTTGAGGCGGCATGTTCACAGAGCTGGGTACGTATGATGGGATCTTTGATTTGCTGCTCATAACTGCCATTTTTGGTGTTTCCTGGCTTGCTCTACATCACATCTATCCATTGGCAGATTGCTGACTCGAGATTCTTGGCGTCTACTAGGTGAAATACTTCAAGGAAAAGCGTGTGATGGAGTTCAACCGGGACAAGACGATCGAGCGCATTCAAAATGAGGATGCGGCTAAGGTGAAGGAGTTGAAGGAGAAAGGTTGGAATCCGAAATAAGAAGCCAGGGGGACTTTGTCGGTGACTTTTGTACAATATGTAGCATATCCTCTCTTATCACGTACCATGATGACCTAGGTACATTGCTAGAAGCTGCAAGCTTGGGGTGATTTGCTTGCTCAATCCTATACCCCTATAACCCATACTTTAAGGTCGAGGGCTCATCACTGTTTACGGCAGCAGTCGAGTAAGACTACATACTTGTAACTATATATTGCATGTTGGGTTTTTATTCCCTGGTAGCGGAAGACCAGCTCGTATACAATGCTGCAGTGATCTATCTATATAGCCAAGTAAAAGGAGACGCGAGAGAAACAGAGGTGTTGAGACTGCATTGTATGTCTTCTGCTCCGCAACGAATAAAGGAATATAGGAGGGCTTTGGTGTTGAGACTGCATTGAGAGCCTCCGGAAGATTCTCAAATTGCGTACTATATGTAGATAACTCGTGAACTTATCTACAAGATTACCTGGAGGATTGAAGTTTGACTCATTCTGCCTGAGCACACACTTTGATGTCAAATGGAGAGATATCCAGCAATAATATAACCGAAAATAAGTATACAGGAAACATCCGTATCATGTCCAAGGGGGGAAATAAACCAGTATTCACAATGAGCAAGAGTCCAATGATTGAGAAAGACATATCAACTCCATCCTAGGTACCGCCTTGCCCTAATATCTACCTAATATCTTACTGCATTTGTGACACATGAGAAAAGCAAAGAGCAAAAAAGAAAAGCAAAGGAAACGCCTAGTGCTGCAAGAACTGGTTTTTGGCCAGCCAGAAAAAAGGAACCGAGGCAGAGCACTAAAATCCACCAAGTAGGGATTGCAAGAACGCCAGGCTCCGAAAATGATGACAAGATGAACCTTAAGTTCGAATGAGAATGATAGGCAATAAGAGAGTCGTGAAATCATTGCTTCCATTTAGCGAGGTGCTGCATCAGGTTCTGTACCTGGGCACCGACGGGTCCCTGGCCCTGCTGCTGTTGTCCACCTAGTCCTTTGGCCAAGAACGAGAGTAAGGTTGGATCAGTGATGACGGGTGCATTTACAGGTTGGAGATTGAAGGGTGGGTGAGGGAGGGGTTGCTGTGCGGTAGTTTGCATGGGTTGAGGCCGATGTGCGTTGGTCAGGAGACTGGCGAGGTCGGCCGGAGGTGGGTTTGGTGAGGAGAAGGGCGACTGAGTAGCAGACACAGGTTGCGAATGGGGCGGTCGCTGGAGTGCCGATAAGAGAGTTGAAAGGCTAGGGCCATCCAGTGAACTAATGAGGTTCGCAATGTTGGGTGGATTCGAAAGCGCAGACAAGCCAGGTTGAGGAACCGACATGGGCTGTGCTGGAGGGATAATGAAACCAGGGTTGGGTGCAAATGCGGTTGGGGCTGCTCCTCGCTGCATCGCTTGGGATTGGTGGCTCAGGAGCTCAGCAGACATATTAGGCTCAAGCTCAGGGTAATCTATGTAGGAAAGAAAGATGAGCAAGGCGTCGATGAAGAGGCGAACACAAATGCGCTTACCAAGGAAGCGGACGTTGTCTAATCCAGCGGTTCGATCAAATAGCTGCAGAGGAATCTTTCGAGAGACTTGATTCGGACGAGAGAGGCGGACAACCGCAAGAACGCCTTCAATAAACTGACGATGCACGGCGGCGCCAAGAGGGATCCGTGGACCAAGCACCAGGACATCGACTCGTAATCCACGGTTGCGGAAAGCGTTCTCTACATGAAGAACGAAGTTTCTTCGCAATGTCAGCGACTGTCTAAACAGACATCAAGGGATTCAACTAACCTATCAAGTTCCTCCAGCACGAGGAGCTGCACCTCTGGTACATCTCGCTGAGCTCGTCGAGGCACGGGTAAATCCGCTTCACCTTCATAGATCCCACGTGGCCTGGGGCTGATGCTGCGGTAACGTCGATCTCTGGAATAAGGAGAGCGAGAAGAACGTGGAGAGCGGGAGCGCCTTCGCTCGCGGCGATCGCGATCAAATCTTTCTGGGGTTCTATCGCGCGACCGATACCCGTCTCTAGACCCCCGAAATGGTCGCGGGGAAGGCGAGCGCGGCGGGCGATAATCGTCACGTCGACTGCGGTGAGAGGGCTCATCCCGGAAATCGCTGAATGGAAGCCGATTTGTTTCATATGGCTTAGATCGGTCGTATCGATCGACGGGGGCCCGGGCGTTAGTTCGCCCAGGAGGGGCACGGTTGAACTCCGGTGATCGGGACCGACGTGGTGGCGGTGCACGGGAATCTTCGGATGCTTGAGCGGGCCGCGTCGATCGCTGAGGCTTTGAAATTTCAAGATCTGAGAACGGTTAGGTCTTTCTTTGAGAGAAGAATTGTTGAGCTATGGCTCCAGTAACTCACGTATCTTCCTGCCCCGCACGACGGCTCCCTGTTCGTTGTTGAGAGCCTCATGGCAAGAACTCGCCTCCAGAAACTGTATGAAGCCGTACGCCTGCTTGATCGATATCTGAGCTAGTTTGCCGTAATCATGGAAGATATGGAACATGTCTCGCTTGGTGACTCTTTCGGTAGGGAGGTTTCCTGCACACGGTGAAAATGTTAGATCGACGAAGAGTAGACATAAGCGGAAACAATACTGACCAACAAACAGCCTGGAGCCCACCGGGAACCGATCCCAAAGACCTTCCGTCACATAGATCCGCTCATCGTGCAGGAACTCGTCATATTTCTTTTGAATCTCTGGACCCCATGGCGAATCATCATCAGCAGGTTTGATCGACCGACCCTGCTTTTCAGCACGGCCTTTCTTGGAGGCTACAGAAGGCTCTTGCAAGGAGCCATGAGGTTCGGCACCGGTAGATGGGCCTTGCGGGAAAGTGGCAATAGGAGGAGGTAGATTGACCGAGGCACCTCCAGAAGAAGTATCAATCGGCTGAGGCTGGGTTTGGGCTTGGATATTACTAGGTTGGGCTGAGTAGGCAGGCGATGCAGTGGCAGCGGCATCATGGGCAGACGGAATTTGGTGATATGCCACCTCGCCATTTGGCATATAATGGGCCTGGACAGAATCGTGGCTTTGGGCTTTCGGGTGGGCGGGGATGCCCTGGGATTTGAGGGACTCGCCAGCGGGTGCTTGGTGGAGAGACGAGTGCCCAGCCGAAGAAGTGACGGGAATAGTTGCACCAGGGTTGGGGCGAGAAAGGTTGTCGAGGAGTTGCTGGAAATTGACACCTCCCGCCTTATGTCCCACACGCTCCTCAGCAATTAGGCGGTCCGACATCCTTGACTGCTCCGGTTTGTGGGCAGGGTCTACTTCGCTCCCAGTGGCAAAGCCTTGGGATACCGGAGCAACCGGAGCAGCGTGGGAATAAGTGGGATCGGGAGGAGAAAGACCTGAGCTCGGATGGCCGGTGTTTTCCGACCCGGACGCTGGGTTGGGAGGAGAATAGTATGCAGAAGCAATCATTTCATTCTGCACCCCACGATTCGGCTGCGAGCCATGAAAACTACCAGCACCTTGGGTCTGACTCGGTCCCCCCTGACCATCTTTTGATCCTCCGTGCAACCATCCATCGTGTGTTTGCGGGGCCTGTTTATACACCGAGCGTTCATAGGTGGAGGTATCGTTGAAGACGGGGTCCATTTGGTTCTCTAAAACTGGGATATTGGATGGCTCTGGGATGTGTAGGGGTCGAGGGCTTTCCGGGGTCAGAGTCTTTCCGCGAAAGTGAAGCGCTTCATCGGGGGGACTGGGCGTCATGTAGACTTCGAGAAAGTGGTGGTTTCATCTACGGAGAGGAAGTGTCGGGGCGAGATGGGTGAATAAGAGGGTCCTAGGAATTTTCGCAATCGCAAGCTAAGGTGGGGCGATGGGAAAAAGATGGGTCGTATTCACAAACCTCACCCAGAAGGGAAAGGGGAAGAGTAGAAAGAAAGAAAAAATAGGCGATGAAGAAGGAATAGGGAATAGGTGGGGTTTCTAGAGGTGCGAAGTGGAAATATGGAAAAAAATGTAGGTCAGGTGAGCAACCGGAGGCGTTGGGCTTCTGTATTTGGGATGTCTATTCTAGTATCACGAGGGCAGATTAATGGATCTTGTTTTAATTGATCTGAATTCTGAATCCCTGATAAGAAGGAGGATATTCCATAGGAATTTTGTATGGAGTATAGGAATGGGATGTACTATAAATGTAGCTACATCACATATACATATCACTACATCATCCATTCCAACCACTAACCACTCCAACTACTCCAATTACTCTAATCAATCTAAATCATCATCCCAGTCAAAATAAAAGCTTTTGTTACGTATGTTGTACGCTAAAGCGCTAAGCGGGGCTAGACCAGGCGAGAAACAGCCGTTCGTTTTCCAAGGTTAGACACTCCACCTCTCCCCGGGGCCACGGACTTCCTCTCTCATGTATCGCCAATGGCGTATACCCTGCATTCGGGCACTACCCTTGAGAAGGTTTGCATCTCAAGCCGAACAAGATGTACAACTAGCCAGGGATTGGCTTAAAACCCTCAATTCCAAGACCATCCCCCGCAACATCTGCGAGGTCTCTTTCAGTCGGTCCAGCGGGCCGGGCGGGCAAAATGTGAACAAGTCAGTGTCCCCACTTGTACAGCAATACTAGTACTGGATTGATGCTAATTGGGAGATGAGGGAAATAGGGTCAACTCCAAGGCCACCTTGAAAGTCCCATTGGACGCCTTGCTGCCCTTAGTTCCCCGTCTGATACACCATCCACTACGCACTTCCCGATATGCCGCCGAAAGAGCCCAATGCCTAGTTATCCAGTCGGACGAGGAGCGGAAACAGTCTAGCAACGTGGAATCCTGCTTTGACAAGCTCTATCAGCTATTGCAGAGCTCGGCTAAGGAGGTGATCCCCGGGGAAACATCTCAAGAGCAAAGAAATCGCGTGCAAAAATTGTACGTTCACTTTTTTCATGGAAGCGATCGAGCAAATCTGACAAAAAAAAAACACAGGCAAAGGGCTCAAAATGAGGGTCGGATTAAAGACAAGAAACAGCACAGCGACAAGAAAAGTAGTCGCCGGGGAAGCAAATACGATGATTGATAATGATACTGCAAATGGTAGTAAAGGGAAAAAGTTCGCCATGGACCCTGAATTTTGATAATATCCGATCAACGCCTAAGTGCTAAGTACAATACTTGGGTATGCTATATGTATACTACTCCTGTGCCGCGCGCTCCGCATTGCGGATGGTAACCGCAATAACCTTCTGCAACGAAGGATCCAGGTCCTTTGTTGCCTGAACGGGTTGAAGCCAGTTGATCACTTGGTGTGCGAGATCCTTGCCCATGGGATACTCCCTGAGGCGGGCAAGCGAAGTACCAAGCGCCCGCGGGAATTCAGCCGAAGTGGAAGGGATTCCAGCGGTCGGGAACTTAATGTAGCAAATCTGCGTCCGTGGGCTGGAAGGCTTGTTGGCCTGCATCGTCTCAATCACATGTTCCAAAATCTTGCGAAGGCAAGGCACATCCCCGAATTCCCAAGCCATATCGAAGAACTCCTGACCAAATCGATCATCGTGGTCGAAATGCTTTGTGGCGGTATCAAAGATGGCGAGCGGGATAGCACCGCTCAGAGCGGGCGTGGAGTTCAGATTTTGCAGCGCAACCTGGTCTACTTCTCCGTCCGCTCCTGTGCTCGGGTTGATGTCCTCGGCTGTGAGTGATGGGAGCGCAATCATGTCGGCATCAGTGTCGTCAATTTCTGCTTCTTGAATGGCCTTGGGTTTCTGGCTCTCCTCATCAAGACCGAGAATCCGTTGGCGAGCGACCAGCTTTGCGATGTAAATCAATTCCAGCTTTGCATATTGAATCCAAATTGCCCTCGCGCTCTTGCAGAACCGTAAACCACGCTGCATGTAACTCCGAGCCTGTGTCATATCTCCGTGGTCATCGAGGACGTGCTTAGCGGCATAAACCCATAAGTCGGCGCTGGTAGGGTGTAGTCGCAGAGCATCGGTGAAAATCGTGAGAAGCTTTTTGTGTGCCTTTTGTTTGCGAGCGTATTCGATATACTGGACCCAGAGGTTGATATCGCCGTGGAACTTGCGTGTAGCTCGGTCGAGAACGAAGAAGATGCGTCGCTGGCCGTTGAATCCTGCCGACCGAATTCCAAGTCGCTTCACCCGCTTCTTTCGCAGCACATCGAGGTTCATTTCGTATTCAGCATAGCGCACAAAGTCCACTGGCTGCGCACCGCGCGCGTTGAGCTTGTGTTCAAAATCAGATCGCTTTCTAACGATTGAGGAGATTTCATCCTAGTTATCATCAGCTGTTATTCTAATGGAAGAATTCCACCTCGCAGGCTTACTTTGGTGAAAATCTTCTTGCGCTCATATTCTTTGAGCTCAGGCACTGATTTCTCGAGGAAGAATCGAGCCTTATCTGTTGCGGCGGACATGATTGCTGTTCACTCAAGATGTTAAAAAAAAATAGTCGGCATCCCGCATTGAAAAAACACCGATTAGCCCCAGGGTGCGCTTAGCCGCATTGGGTTAGCGTAAACGACGCTCAGAACCACCGAGGCATCCGGGCGTTGTTTTCATCCGATTTCTCTCAGGGGCCGTTCGCTCGTGGCATCTTGTTGAAGCCATTTTTCCTTTCGTTCTTTTTCCCGACGCTCTTTTCTTTCTCAATTTTAGCTTTTTTTTAATCATATAGGTGCAGAGATTGCCTTTACCTCTGTGCCGCCATGGCTCCCCGATACAAGGACGGAGATGCCGTGGTCGCCGTAAGTGCTGAAGCGCCATCTGATGCGGATCTAGAAACGCCACTGACTTGATATCTTTGCAGATCAACGGTAAATGGGTTGCATGGACTCACACGGTTTTCGCATATGCAGCGTTCATCAGCGCGTTGATTGTCGGCATTGCTTTGCACTACCACAAGATCGTCCAGAATGAACACTACGGCTACCCTATTGAATGGTTCCCCTCCGTGTCTGCGACCATCGGTGACCGATATCCCGAGCGGTCCTTTTTCCAGGTCTTCATTGCTATTACCTCCGGTCCTCGCTTCGCGCTTGTCTTCCTGTGGTACATCCTCACTTCGCGCCCGAACTCGACCTTACCTAAGTTGGTTGCCGGCGTGGGCATTTTCCGGACATTGACATGTGGTGGTTGGACCTATGTTACATCTACCGATGATCATGACTGGCATGACATCTTCATGATCTCGTACTTGGTGGCCACCTTGCCGTGGACCCTGGGTTGTCTTGCACTCAGCCCAAACAACCGCCGTGCCGTCAAGTATCGCAAAATCCTGGCCAGTTTGTTCTTTGGAACTTTGGTTCCGTTGATCTACTATTTCATTCAGCACAAGGTCCACAAGGTTCCCGGTGGTGAGTACTTGTCCTTGTGAGCATCCAGCTGGGGTTTATCGCATGCTAATCAGTCAAACCTTTAGCCTACACCAAATATGCCTTCTTTGAATGGTCCCTAATCCTGTTCGATGTCGGTTTTGATGCTGTCACAGCTCTTGACTTTGAGTGCTTCGAACTGGTGGTGAGGGATGTTAAGGGTGTTAGCAGAGGGTATGTACCGTGGCTTCCAAAATGACACTGCCCGCATCAAATGTATAGTGCCAAAGGCTATATTGGTTTTGAAAAAAAAGACCTTGTCTAAGTTTGTGTTCATTAGGCAATTGGAAACGACTGCAGATTCTGTCTTGGAGAAAGAGTGTGTACAATCCCATAACCAACTACAACCATCCCGGAAATTAACCACATACGTAGGAAGGGAAAGCCAGTGGGCAACACCTTTGGCGAGGGATTCTTCTGGACCGAGATTATTGATGCCGCCGCGGATGTCTACAATGGGGTAAATTATACCAGTCGATTATTGGTCTTTTGTGTTACTGACAATGGACGGTAGTTTGTTTTCTGGACCATCGTGACTGGTCTGCCTGTCCTTGTCTGGTGTAAGTGACACATATTCCTCTCTATATGGACTTGTCTGATGTTGATAGACTTCCCTCTTTGGCACATGGGTATCTCTGGTTACGAGGTTGCCATTGTTTGCTGCGCATCCCCGTTGTTCTACGTCATCCCATCTCTGCGATATGCAGCTGTGAAGAACCTCCGCCTTCTTCACCTAATTTCGCTCGTTGGCCTTCTCGGATATAAGTTCCAGGATCCTGCCAACCGTCTCTTTGTGACTGGATTCGCTCTTTCTACTACGTGTGCAGCATGGACCGCCAGCTTCTTTTCCGAACGGCACAACGCTCCTCGTCTCGAGGCCCGTATCATGGCTTGGGGAATCGGTCTGGTTTTGTCCGTCGTTGCCAAGTTTGCATGCAAGACCAACAACCCCCTTTGGCCAATTGTTCACGCCGAGAATGGTGGCTGGAATAAAATTGGAATCTTCATTGCTTTGTTCGCGGTTTTGAGGTCCCAGAGAGGTTCAAACACGAGCGGCGGTGATTACTTGCCAGCAGGTGGCAAGAAGGGCTCGTCCATTCTTGCTGGTGTTGGATTTGGCGGTCTGATGTTCACCATTGTGTCGCTTTTGACTGATTCGAGTACCATGATCTCATGGGTCTGGGACGGATACCCAGTGCGCGGACCGATCGCAGCTCCTCACGGTGCTTTGACGATCTTCGCAATGGGAGCTGGCCTTGTGTACGGCATTTTCCATCCTAGAATCGCTGGAAGCTGGACTGCCTACGGTGTCGGTTCCATTGGTGCTGCTCTTCTTACTTGCTACCACCACTGGACTGGATTCTACGGTGCCCTCATTCTTGCGTTCTATACCATGGCCGTTGCCCCGGTTCTCATTGTATCCAGCGTTGCTCACTCTCCTGCGAGCACTTTCGGCATCGGCTTCCTTGTTTATGTGGTTCTTTTGCTCTTCCACGTCTGGGTTGTCGCCTATGCCTTCGTTCCAGGCGGTCCATTCCTTCGTGAGCACACTGACTGGCTCATGACCACTACAATGCTGTCCATTGGTGCGGGTGTTTTCTCTGCGGCGACCTCGAACTCTACTCGCTCCCGCAAGCCCCACAAGCCTGTCAACCCCAATAGCAGGAGACAGCGATCGTACTATATCTACGTTCTTGCTGTGCTGCAACTGCTTTCCGTGTCTATTGCCTACCTCCGCTTCCCGACCAATGACTACACACCTTATCACAAGGAAGACAAGGTTGTGACTGCTGGTATCTGGACTGTCCACTTCGGCCTCGACAACAACATGTGGTCAGCTGAGCGGCGCATGCGCGATGTAATTGGTGAGCTTGAGCTGGATGTCATTGGTTTCCTCGAATCCGACAATCAGCGTATCATCATGGGCAATAAGGACGTCACTCAGTTCATCGCTGAGGACCTTGGCTACTACACTGACTTCGGCCCCGGTCCAAACAAGCACACCTGGGGCTCTGCCTTGCTGTCTAAATTCCCCATTGTCAACTCTACGCACCACCTTCTCCCCTCGCCTGTGGGTGAGCTGGCACCTGCAATCCACGCCACACTCGACATGTACGGCGAGATGGTTGATATTGTTGTGTTCCACTCCGGACAGGAAGAAGACCCTGAGGACCGCCGCTTGCAGAGCGAGTATCTGTCGAAGTTGATGGGTGACTCCCCACGTCCCCTGATCCTATTAAGTTACCTCGTCACCAAGCCGCTCGAGGGCAACTACAACACCTATGTGAGCGAGCGTAGCCAAATGAAGGATATTGACCCTACCGACTGGGATAGATGGTGCGAGTACCTTCTTTTCAAGAAGCTGCACCGCACTGGCTACGCCAGAATTAGTCGTGATACCATCACGGATACGGAGATCCAGGTAAGTGATGTTTTCTCTTTATTACTTCTCATACGCGTGCTTAGTTTCTGACTGTTTCGTGATCTAGGTTGGAAAGTTCGTCATCGGCGAGCCCGAACCCGAAAATGAGATGCGTATCCCAGAGGAGATGGTCCCCGTTGGCCGCCGCTTCCCTGCCTTGTTCCGTGGCGAGGGAGTTCGCGGACACCGCTACCACGTTTTCGATGAACCCAGGTACTGGCAATAGACAGTCTGCCTGGGTCTTCATTGCGCAAAAGTTCGCTTGAAGAGGATTACTATCGATGAGTCTGCCCATATCGTGACATAATTAAGGACCGAACAACGCAGCCATCCCACTATCTTTGGGGCTGCCAATATACCTAGTGTACTTGAATGATGAGAGTATTTTCTGTTTGTGGTTTTATTTTACCAGTATTCACTTCTGGCTCGTGCTCCTCGACCTTCTTCTACATACTCGTTCGTACATCGCACGATTCGAGAGACCGAAATTTAGGGTATCGTCTCAGATGGTGTATATGACAGGATGTTTGAGATAGCCTTTGTCCTGTGACAGGCGTCCGCTAATAATAGTTTTGACCACGAGCAGAAATGGTTAGAACCAGGATAGGTCAATGACAGCAAAGTAGCACGCCTGCGCAATCCTTTTCTATCCGCCGTTGCTGATTACGCTTTTCCTTCATGCTCGCACGGACTCACCCATCCTCAAAGCTCTTTGTATCGTCCTGGTGTCAGGCCCAGACAACGGGGAAATACGTTTCGCTTTGTTAAAGAGGCATTTTCACCATAGGAAATGAGGCGTGCCATTGCCAAATCTGGACATGAACCAAATTCGATCTTGCCTTTCAGCTTTGCTTCCTAGTGGAAGTGGCTGGTTGGGTATCCCCGCTTGGAATCAAGCCCTCACTCGCCCGCCTCTTCGCAATTCCCTATTTCCCAGTTTGACGGGGGAAACATGTCGATATTACTTCGTTGGATTTCAAATACAAAAATCCGGACCTCTCTGGAGTAAGCATGGTGGGTGCAAGTTTATCGAGATGATCAGCAATATCAGATCAGCCCATTATGAGCCCGAAACGAGGTGTTTTGTTTCTGGGACTGATCTTCTGGGAATTGCTCTCTTTGATGTGTTTATTTTGTTTTGGTACTGCTATGATCCCGGTCCTTGTTCATTGTTTCTCATGCGCCCTCGAAGTACTCTTGGTTTCTTTCTCTCTTTCTTTTTTTTTTTTTTTCGAACTGCCCGGTTTCTCTAGGTTAGATTTATGGTCTGTTCTATTGACTTCCTTTGATTCCATCCTCACGAACTGATTTTGGTCTTCTACAGTCCCTCGAAACTTTGTGTCGAAATGAACACAGCAACGAACAGTGATAAAAATTATAATCCTGTCCAGCTGTTGCAATACAGCTGTTATCAACCCTGAATAATCTGACCTAAACTTACTTTCGATTGCAAAAAAGGAACATCGTATCAGGATTGACCTGAAGCGCTCTTTGTCAAGGCCATCGGCGTATTGATAACAAGCTGGGTGCAGTCAACAAAGGAGAGGGCTCGAAAATATATTTTTAGTTCTCTTTGTGCTGGTAAATATCTGCAGATTTCTTCGTCCCTGCTCGTGCTTTGTCTATGGGCACGAATAAGGTGACTCGTCTCTGTCTTCTATTAATATAGAGTCAACATATCCAAATTTTTCCTTAACCAACAAGACCACAATTTTCTTGACTCAAATCTTTTGTCATCAGATCAGATCAATCATCATTATCGTAACAACACCAACAAACAATAGGTATGGTCCCGACGTTATCAATTTACATTCTCCAACTAACAAACCAAATCAGACCTGAAGACCATCGCCCAACTCAAAAGTATGGTTGCAACACGATCAACGACTGCGGGCACTCGTCCAAAGGCTCAGCCTCTACTGGCTAAGCCTTCCAAGGCCGCAAAAGCTGCCAAAACCGCCAAAGTCGCCAAGATGAAGGCTGAAAAGGAGGCCGAGAGGGCTGCAGCGAAGGCTGTAAATGACGCGAAGAAAGCTGCAGTGAAGGCTGAGAAGGATGCAAAGAAGGCTGCAGCGAAAGTCTCAAAGGTTGCCAATACCAAGAATGGCACAAAGGGCGCAAAGCGTACAACTGCTGCGAAGACCAAGGCCATCAAAGCCACGAAAACCGCCAAGAAGGCGAAGGCTACAAAGAGCAGTGTTAGCGCAGCTACCGTGAAGGCTTCAACAAAACAATATGACGAGGACGAGGACGAAGACAGCGAAGACAACGAAGAAAGTGAAGAAAACAACTATGAACCACAGGCCAAAAGACGCAAGGTTAAGACTCTGGCTCCTAATGTGGAAATCGGTCGGCCCACATTCAAACGCCCAGCTTCAAAAATTGGAAAATGGGCGTACATGGAGAAACTTCATGTCCCAGAAGGTGTGGAGGACGAATTTCACGGACCTCTGCCACCCATCTATATTGGAGGCGCTGCACCACAGCCTCGTTGGGTGATCATTCAAAACGAAAACAGCGAAAACATAAAAGTCCCTTCTAAACGACATGCCTCAAAAGCCAGCTCCGGGAGGACTGGTGGTACGAGGGACTTCGGAGAATTGCAGTGGACCTTTGAAGAAGGTGACTTCAAGAACTGGACCGGGCTAGAATACCCAGCTCTTTACGAACTTGCGTACCTGTGCCTCGAATATACTCTCACCCATACAAAGCTCCGAGAGCAGATCTATGATTCCCTAGCCCAGGGCCCTTTGCTCAAGGCTGTGGCCATTGACCCAGCTCTGCCGCCAATGCCCATCACAAGGCACTTTGCGACAGGAACCTCCGAGCAATCCAGTCGAAAGTCAAGTAATGCGGCCTTTTACTTCCCTAATTATGATCGTCCAAGCATGGCAGTCCGACCGCGTGACGATCACATGGCGCGGCCGTATCCGCATGCCGTGGCGTCCAATATCTACAATCGACCAAGATCGGAAGAATGGCCGACTGCCTCGCGCTCTGCCAGTCCGGACCTGGAAAGCGAACGGGGTGGCAAACAGGGCAGCGAAGAAAGTCACACAGCCGAGCCCAGGAAGTCGCAAGATCCAGAGGGTACTTATTCGGAACCGGCAGCCCCTGCGCCTTTTCGAAACGATGAAAAGGTTTCACGTGGTGAGTACAAATGTGCTTAGTTTGACTCGAATTTCATTCTCGTTCGTTTGCCTTTTCAATAGACTCTTTGGAAGGTGTGCGAGTGTCAACTACACTGTGGGGCACCATACATAGAAGCAGTCATACCCAAGACGATTGGTTGTCGCGTTTCTGGGGAAGAGGAATAACCACTTTGACATTATATACTGCATACTACAGACCTATTCGGACAATACGCTGACTGATAGGCTCTAGATACAATCTCGGAAGACGGTTCAATCTTTGGCGACGGCGATGACGTTCAGACTGAGCCTCACTCAGCTCGAGACTCTCGAGAGCAATCACCTGATAGTCCCTTGTCTGGCTCCGGCTCTAACAGCGAGGTCAGCGCTTCTTCCAAGACCAGTGAGCCTAGCAAGGTCAACATCGCTGACGATAATAGCGCCCAATCGACGAATAACATGTCCCCGGTATCCCACGATGGGCTATTCAGCCCTGGACAGATTGAGCGGTATTATAGGAAGAAGCAAAAAAATTGTGAGTCAATATGTTTAGCTGTCACCCTAGTCAATTATGCTAATGTTCGGTTCAAGTTGAGAGGCTAGGCGGAGTTGGACATCGCGAAGCGTCAAAGCGAAAGCGCCGAGCACAGCTCTCACTGGAAGACGCACAGAAAGAGGCGAGAAAAAGAGAACTTGAAATAATAGGGGCTCCAAAATCAAGTAAACGAATACGGATGGAGCCTTCATCAATACCATCACCATCCGCGATTCGAAGGAAAACAGCGGCTGAGATCACGGTGGATAAAGTCATGTCATTTGCTCGAGCAGGACAAGACAAACGGGACGAAATTCGAGCAGCTGCAGCAGAGAAAATATCAGACAGGCCGCCGGTGGCACTGAAGAAAACCATAGGAAACCAGGCGGGTGCAAGACCGCAGGCGGGCGCACCTAGTCCTGAGATTCCGCCTAATCTGCAAGATAGGTTCCTAGAACAGACAAGGATATACCTCAATGACCCAATACGGAGGGCAAGGCATTTCCCTGACCCTATTACTGTTCGCCGAGCCAGGGTGTGGGCAGGGGAGGAATTGGTGGGCCATGAGATCAAACCCACAGTCGACACTACGCTACCCCCTTGGGCTGAAAGGCACCGGCCTTTCAGTCAATGGCAGGATCCAGTAAGTGCCCTAATCCATTGATTAGGCTTTTTAAGAGTCATGCTGATCATATTTTATTAGATTGGGGTAATTCCTACGCCTGCGGCGCGCACAAAGCCCTTGAGATCAAAAAGACGGAGCAAAGGGCGAGGTAAAAGGAGGCTAAGACCAGCATCTGCAGAAGAGCAGTCAGTCATTTCAGCCCGGTGGTCTTCCTTTAGATAAGCCTGTTGTGTACCTTCTCTCCATAGTTTGGTAGTGAAGTTTGTTTCTATGGGTGTGTGGTGGTTTAATCGAAGTTATATAGATTCGGAGTTTGGGATGTCTATGCCTTTTTGTTCGGATTTATTAGTTTCTTTCACATTTTTATCTGACCTTCATCATTCTTCTGCTGAGTATTACATTTTTACGATACTAGTTTGGAGCGAAGCATGTATATCGTCCAACATAGTTGCATGTTCAAGCCCGGTTGTAGAATATGGCTGGCATAATCGCAAGGTAACGCTTGATTACACGAATCTCGAATAAACATCAGGTGCCAATATACAAGACCAAACGATCCACGGCTAGGTGAAATGTAAGTTTGAAAAAAATTCCTTAAAAAAGGTGTCGAGGGAAGGACTTGACCTATACAATAGTTCGGCTTTATATTGCTAGACGTCACGTGCAAACCGAACAAACAAGCTCGCCCGTCGCCTGGTATCTCTTTTGTCTTTGTTCGCGAAAGTCGGATCGATTTGACACCCTGGGATATGGGATAATGGATCAATCTTGGAATTGACCAAATACATCGAGGCATTACCTCATTGATCGTGACTGATCTGTCGCCGCATCCCTGGTCCAGAACAATCGCGCTGCTAGGTTTGCCGTCAGTAACGGCAGATTCTCAAGATGTTCACGTTCACTCCCCTCCTTGGCGCCCAGTCGTCATCTTCAAAGGCACAACAGTCTATCTTGGAGCTCGATGGAGGCATCAAAATCCTAGTGGATGTTGGCTGGGATGATAAGTTTAATACCCTTGATTTGGCGGAACTTGAGAAGTGAGCATGCGATCAGGGTTACCTTCCAAGGTTTTTGAATTCAGATGGGCTAATACCATAATCAGGCATATTCCTACGCTTTCTCTCATTCTCTTGACACACGCCACGCCCGCCCACATTGGCGCTCTAGTCCATTGCTGCCGAACATTCCCCCTCTTCACACAAATCCCAATCTATGCAACGAATCCCGTGATCGCTTTCGGCCGTACCCTCCTACAAGACCTATATGCCTCCGCTCCGCTCGCTGCCACATTTCTACCGAAGGCTTCTGTCTCAGAGCCTGGCGCATCGTCAGCAGGATCTGCGACTGTGTCAGGCGGAGACACCGAGGCCACTGGCAGCGCAAGCCGAATACTTCTTCAATCGCCGACAGCGGAGGATATATCTCGATACTTCTCTCTCATTCAGCCACTCAAATATTCCCAACCGCACCAACCTCTCCCATCGCCTTTCTCCCCGCCGTTGAACGGGCTCACTCTCACAGCCTACAATGCCGGTCACACCGTCGGTGGAACGATATGGCATATTCAGCATGGGCTGGAATCCATTGTATATGCAATGGATTGGAACCAAGCTCGTGAGAGTGTGGTCGCGGGTGCTGCGTGGTTCGGTGGCTCTGGTGCCAGTGGAACAGAAGTCATTGAACAGTTACGTAAACCCACGGCCTTGATCTGTAGTACAACAGGAGGCGATAAGCTGGCACCTTCGGGAGGTCGGAAAAAGCGAGACGATCTCCTCCTCGACATGATCCGAAGTTGCCTTGCGAAAGGTGGAACAGTTCTCATCCCTACAGACACAAGTGCGCGGGTTCTTGAACTAGCTTACGCACTAGAACATTCTTGGCGCGATGCCGCGAATGGCGACAAAGAGGATGTTCTTCAAGGGGCCGGGTTGTATCTGGCTGGCAAGAAGGTTACGAACACAATCCGACTCGCCCGAAGCATGCTGGAGTGGATGGACGAGAACATTGTTCGCGAATTTGAAGCGGCGGAAAGCACAGACGTCACGAACGGGCAAAGGACGGGGGGACAGGACAAGAGCTCTAACAAGGGGGGTGGGCCATTCACTTTCAAACATCTCAAGATCATTGAGCGCAAGAAGCGTCTTGAGAAGCTCCTGGCAGAGCCTGGACCTAAGGTAATTCTTGCGTCCAATACATCAATGGACTGGGGCTTCTCAAAGGATGCGCTTCGACAAGTGGCCGAAGGACCCAACAATCTGTTATTGCTGACGGAGTCCTTCCGCAAGGATATGACGACTCAAGAATCGAAACCATCACAGAGTTCGGCAACAATTGGAAGTATGATTTGGCAGTGGTACGAGGAGCGAAGAGATGGTGTGGCTCTAGAAAAAGCATCAGACGGCGAACACATCGAACAAGTCCACAGCGGTGGACGAGAATTGTCTTGGACAGATGTGCAGCGAGCCCCTCTCGATACCGGGGAACATCTAATATACCAGCAGTATCTCGCGACCAAACGCCAACTTGAAGACACATCTCAAACACTTGGCCAAGAAACTCTCGAAACTGCTGCGGATGCTCTAGATGACGGATCGAGCTCTACCTCTTCTGAAGACTCGGATCCTGAACAGCAGGGTCGCGCACTGAACTTTTCGGCCTCACTTGCACACGCTACTCGAAGCAAACTTGCCGTCAGTGACGAAGACTTGGGTATCAACATCCTTCTTCGTCGAAAGAACGTTTATGATTACGACGTTCGTGGCAAGAAGGGCCGCGAGCGCATGTTTCCTTACGTGGCACCGAGAAAGAAGGGAGACGAATATGGAGAATTCATTCGCCCAGAAGAGTATCTCCGAGCCGAAGAACGTGAAGAGATTGATATGCAACAACGGCGTACCGACGCCGAGACTAAGCTGGGCCAAAAACGACGATGGGATGATGCAGCCGGCCCCAATGGACGCAAGTTGTCTGGCGGTGCAGAAGGACGGAAGCGTCCTCACATTGATGGCAAGAAGATTGAAGATGATGATCTCAGCCTTGCCTCTGATGACGAAGACGCCGATGTAGCTGCAGAGTCCGAGGACGAAGTAGAAGGCCAGTCCTTCGAAGGTCCTGCGAAGGTTGTTTACCATACGCAGACCATCACTATCAACGCTAGGATTGCATATATCGACTTCATGGGCTTGCACGACAAGCGCAGCTTGGAGATGTTAATTCCACTGATCCAACCTCAAAAATTGATCCTGGTTGGTAGCATGAAAGAAGAGACGTCAGCATTGGCAGCCGAATGCCAGAAACTGCTGACAGTCAAGGTCGGCGCCACGGTTTCTGACCCTGCGTTTGACTCGGCTGCCATTATCTTCACTCCTGCGAACGGCGAAGTCATCGATGCAAGTGTTGATACAAATGCCTGGATGGTCAAGCTGAGCAACACGCTCGTTCGACGCTTGAATTGGCAACACGTCCGCAGCCTCGGCGTCGTTGCTCTCATGGCACAGTTGAGAGGGCCAGAGCCTGCCGAGATCGGGGAAGCCGAAACATCAGGCAAGAAGGTGAAGCAGCTGAAGGACGAAGCAGCCTCTTCCGCTGTCGCCCCGACATTGGAACAAGCAGACACCAAAATAATCGAGAAGGTAGAAGTCTATCCTTTACTTGACACTCTCCCAGCTAGCATGGCCGCCGGAACCAGGTCTATGGCTCGCCCTCTTCATGTCGGTGACTTGCGATTGGCTGATCTTCGCAAGCTGATGCAATCCGCTGGTCACACAGCCGAGTTCCGAGGCGAGGGAACGCTTCTCATTGACAAGTCCGTAGCTGTGCGCAAATCTGGAACGGGCAAGATTGAAATCGAAGCAACGGCACAGTCTTCACTAGCTCGGCCTGGTGGTCGTGGAATAGGGAGCTTCCTTGCTGTCAAAAGGAAAATCTACGAGGGCCTGGCTGTTGTTGCAGGCAGCTAAGACTACACGTGACATGGTATTTCTATCTTTTCCCGGTGTATAACTTCATGATCAACAAAGCATTCATAGCCACTTCTTTCTTCCGAAATCAAGGTATTCATAATCAAACAGGTTTTCTTCTACTGGTTTGCTCAAGTCAATGTCACAGGTAGTATTATATTCAAAAACAACATTATCATCAACACACAATTTAACCCGAAACCAACATGACCCATTTCTAAAATGCCTAAAACTTCAAACAAGCATGAACATAATATAAATCTAATCCATAATCTAGAAAACTGAACTCGCAAGTCGTCGTTGTGCGTAAGGAATGAATATGTCATCTAAACAGTGATCTCGCCTGACTGTTCGGAATCGTCGTCATCGTCCTCGGTGGGAATTTCTCGTATGATATCATTGGTTTGAGGACCAGTGTACTTTCTGCAGCAATAAAGGAGGCCATGTCAGTATCCACCGGAATGATGCTGGAAGTGTAGGTTAATTTTAGATGTTTCTTACCCTCGAGCCGCAACCCACCACCATATCAAAGCAAAAGCGGCAATAAAGCCGCCAACACAGATGGCGTAATTCCTAGGTAGAGTCATGTTAGTATACCTTTTCACACCTGAACATAAACCGGTTTCAAGCGCCTTACATATTTGCGGGCGTCACAGGAAGCTGTGGCGGGAAGAAAAGAATTGTACTGATGAACAAGACCCAGACAACAGCAATATAGTTAATAGGAGTACCCCATTTACCCAGCGTAAAAGGGCCCTCGATGAATTTGACCTTCGATTTATAGAGCTGGTGGGCGAGAATGACAGACACGTAAGAGATGTCTAGTGCTGGGGCAGTGATGTTGAATATTGCGGTTGCCGTTTGCGTGGAGCCGATGGCGATGCAGTTCAAGCCTACGCTGAAGAAAACCACGAACCACACTGCATTGACAGGGGTATGAGTTCGAGGATTGACCTTGGAAAGGAACCTATAATGTATTAGTGCGGAGCTTCAATCAGGTGCAAAGGTAAGAAAATCCTACTTTGAAAATGGAAGCGCATCGTCTCGCGCAAAGGCATAGGCCATTCTTGTATCTGCCAACATAGCTGAACAGCCTGTGAAGAATTGGACCAAAATGGCAAATGCCCACATAACTGTGCCACCTCGTTTCCCACCGGCATTGAGGAAGATCTGGGCTGCGGGAAGACCGGTAGGGGAGGTTAGAATTCCCTCGAAATCGGTCAAACAAAAACACATTGAGACGGTTAGGAGCCACCCGAGTGC